GTACATTAATAAAGATTGTTAGCCAGAAGCATAACTACAGCCTTGGGAGATGTACCCAGCCAGTAGCCTGGATACCCCAATGTTAGCTCTGTTTTTCCCACTCGATGGTATAATCACCTGTTCTCTCCAAGCGGTGATGGCATCTGTTAAGTATGTTAAGATTAACGGCCACCTCCGCGCCCCGCACAGCCTGCCCCTTGATGGCGGCCCCGTTTTCTTCGCAGGGAACGGTCTGGAATCATGGTTATGGAGCAGCATGAGCCCCCGCAGCGTTCTGCTGCCGTCCAGCGAACCCCTGTCTGAAGTAGAGACGTTCATGACGAAAAATGGACAGATGAGGCTAACAGACGGATAACGTGTACCCAGGGGCCGAGGAACTGGGAAGGGGGAAGTGTGGGCTGGGGGGACATGTACCCCAAATATTTAATTTGGCTTCAATTTAATTCACCCCCCCCCCTCCCAGTAAACAGATCTTTTGTGTACAAATTAAATTGTCCCCCCCAATATCAAACTCTCCTGCGCCATTGAGTGGATCTATCCATACATAAGTTTATTCCTATAGCTAACTTGACCCCCAGACAATCCACACCAGAACTGAACAATCAAGCCATCAAGAACACCGAATTCCTGGTATAGGTGTGTTGGGAGCTGTGGGGGGGAACAAATATTTGGGCGGTCTGGGGTTCCCTGACAAACACTGAGGTAGGGCTTAAGCTGAGTGACTGTAGATAAAGAGCACGTGGCAGTGCCTCACACCTGTAGGGTGTGGGTTCGAGTCCCACTCCTGGCTGTGTGCATGTGGACTGTGTGCGATCTCCCTGTGTAATACAGGTTTCTACATACCCCACTTACCTTCCATAGTCCTGCCTTCAGGTGAAATGGTATCACTATGCTGCCCATGGAACGTGAATAATGGTGCCCGCATACTTCAAATGAAAGTTGACGGAATTCAATGTCAGTTCAGTAATACGATACTGTATGAGCTGGGATCACTGTTTCATGACACCGCCTGTGCAGAGTTGCTAAGCTGAATTTTGATGTTTTGAATATTTGTTCTGCTCACGTAAATATTTGTTCTGCTGCCGTAAATGTTGTATCATAGGGTTGGCCTAATTATACATTTACCAGCATGCTTTGCGCCACACCGTGTGTATCTGTAAATAGCAAAAATTTATATGTGTATTTGTGCATTCATGCTGTGAATAATGTATGTTGTAACCAAAATGTTGTAGAATGTGAGTGTTTCTTTAGAGCGTAACCATGAGTGTCGTGTAAATCGCTGCCTTCCCTGTCTGTGCTGCTGCTAGTATTAGGCCAATAGTGGCCGTTAATAAAGAGCTACTTCTTTAAAAAGGATGTCATCTCCTTTATTAAAATGGCTCACACACTCCCCACAATATGTTTATCTGCCCTCTGTATGTGGGTCTGCTGCAGGTAAAACATTCTGCGCCCTCTAGGGTTGTGGAGTGACACAGAATGAACACGGTGCTGGTCTGTGTTGTTAATCGTGCAACAGGTTGTTCTTGCAGATGTGTTAGACTTCGTTTTGTCTGGACGTCCTCTGAAGTGAGGGGCCACTTTAACAGTCCTGCTATGGAGCCCATCTGCTGTCCTGTGCTTCCAGGAAGAGGCTAGAGTCTTCACTGCCACCCCGCACTGGATAAGCAGCTTTAGAAGAGGGATGGACAGATACACATCACAGCTTCCTTCATCTGCAGACAGGGCGGGAAGATTTTGAGGGCATGCATTAAGATGACGCATTTCTCGTTGACCTCTGACCAGCATACGGCTGAGTGCTTTCGTCTGTGAACCCAGCAAACACTGCCCGGCCAGTCGCCTGCTGATCTTCCGCAGACCCCAGCCGGCAGCTGCGAAGCAGAACGTTCCAGAACGTCTGATTTACAGCACCGACCTCAATCAGCAAAACCCATATGAGACGAGGATTTCCCGCTCGATAAAACGGACTCTTTCACAATTCCCAGCCGGTTCCTGGGCTCGAGTCAGACTGGCGGACCACACGCTGCCGCACAAACACATCCCGGCTCGTCAGGCGCTCGCTTCCCCGAGGAGATTCCAGACCCCAGGGAGAGTCAGGGCTTGCAAAGCGTCAATAAAAATGTCAGCCAGACACACACACCTCTCGCAATCGACCTGGCGAGCCAGTCTTGTAGCTGTTTCGCCCGTGGGAACGTACGACTCAACAAAAGAAAAAAAAAAACATCACAGCTCCATTGTACACGTTGCAAGTATCCTAAATTCTCCAGGCCCAACCTCTGGGATTATTTGCCCCCCCACACATAATAAAGAGCACTTAAAGGAGTTGAGCAGAAATGCCACCCCTCCGCGCATACCCTTTAACCGCCAGGAATGTCCGTCTCATACTACACGTGTTGCTTTAAAGGCCAGAGTTTATTACCTGTGACTATTACAATTTTCTAGGGAGGAATATCTCTGCACCCCATTTCCCGCAGCCGGCTTGGAATGCAGGCCGCTTCCCTCGAGGAAGTGCAGCGAGGTGCCCCCCCCCCCTCCCCTCCCCTCACCACATCCTTCATAGGGAAGCAGCTGAGAGAACCCCCAACCTCTGGACCCCTTTCCTGCAACCCCACCCTCACTCCCACCCTGCCACCAGCCCGCCAGGAGGGCCCCACCCAATCTACAGTAGCCTCTTGTCCTGTTTTCTCTGTTAGGAATTTCCCCTTCACCTTGGGAACAGGGGACACGTCCCTTTCCCTCCATATAGAAGACAGGTGGGTGGAGGCTTTAGGAGATGGATGCTTCATCTCAAGGTTGCCGGTTTGGGATCTGCAAGGAAAAGCCACAGCTAGACCCCCGGGCCAGAGACATCACCCAGAGAACGCTGCTGAATCTAAGCCAGCTGTGTAAATTATGAAAAGGGCAAGTTGTTAGTTATGAAGACAGACTTCTTACGGTTCAAGTTAGCAAATTGCCGTGCAGTCCCCATATAGCGACATCATGCTGCTCTGAGAAGACAAACACAACGGATATCAAATTTTACAACCAATGGCAAAGTGTTGCCTGAAGTGTGAGAATATGGAGGGGTTTTATGTACCAAGTGATTTATAAGGTCGAATTTTTTTTTAAGGAAAGATTTAGTTTCTCTTTAAAAAATGTACATCCTACATGTGCCTAATTTAACATCAGCGTCCATCAGTGTCAAGCCTGCCTGACTTATACCATACGTCTGAAAAGGTTACACTGAATGATGTGGATCGTAGGAGACACATGCAAAGCTGGCCGTTTTATTCAGCCAATGGTCAAACCAGTCTAGAGGACCTTTGCAAGCCCATAAGGCTGCTTCTGGGAACCCACTTGGTATTTGATCATGTGAATAACTATTAACTAATTATATGCATTTGTCTGAGACCCAGGCATCTAGTTAATTATACTTTGGGCCATAGCAGCCTGGATTTGGCACTTGTCGGAACATTTCGACACTCTAAAACAACACTCATAAGCTTTGAGCTTTTTCAGCTGACACTGGGAGAGAAGCCAGACTGGAAAAGCAGCCGTGTGGACACCTACCTGCTGTCAACAGGCTGACGCTTATCTCTCAAAGAACCTCACGGTAGTGGAGTCTGAGAATGCAAAACGTCCCCATAATGAACGTGGGTCCTGAATGAGTCCCTGCAGGGGCATTGAGGACATCGCTGGCCTGATCAGCTCTTATCATCCAAGCGCAACAGTGTCACGTCTGGCAAGCGTCAAACACACTGCATTTGAGAGCAGGCTTGATGAAAGCCCAACCTAGTCTCCCACAGGTCTTCAGATACATTTCGACTTCCTTGCTGGGAAGAGCTTGACTTACAGCTTTACTAACTTACAATTAACCAATTAGCAAACTAATTTAATGAAGTGATTAAGGTTGGAATTTCAACAAGAGATGATACCAGGACAGAAAGTATTTTGATATTCTATATATATATATGTATATATATGAAACATGCAAAAAATTATTAGTATTATAATTAGGATTGGCATGTTGGCTCAGCAGATAGCATTACTACCATTCACGTTTGGGGTTTGGGGAAAAAATGCCACGTCTGCTCCATATGCATGTCGATGTCCTCCCTGCATTTTGTGAATTTCCTCTCACCCTCCAAAAACACACAGCTTGTGTGTAATTGGAGGCCCTCTGCTTGTGCGGCGTCCTATCAGAAAGTCCCATGCCCTGGGTTTCCTGGGATAGGCTCCAGACGCACTCTGACCCTGTGCTGGTTGGTTATTTTTGGTAAATAAGTCAATTACGGATAATAGCGAATTACTAATGAGCTCACGGCACTTCGGGTTCCGTGTGAGGGATTTTACAAGTTATTTCGCAACCCAGCCGCAAATGCCTGGGAAAACCAGAGGCTCTCTCTCTCTCTGGTCAGTCAATGTGGGGAAGCCTCCTAATGTCCTTTCAGATGTCAGAGAACACTTTTGTATTTAATGAGTGTCACATTTCAATAGGACTTTTATGTATACATAAAGCCAAGCACATAAATGCAGCCAGCTGACCTGGAGGGTTTGGGGTGCAGTTGAAGGTGACTCCGCCCTCTTTCACAAGACATCAAGCGGCTGCAGCTGGAAGGATGTCGCGTGCAGTTAACATGTGCATCCTTTCTGAGCATTGGGTGCCGTTAGGGGCTCGCTTTGCGAAAGTCATTTTGTTTAGCGACTCAGAGGGACAGACAGCCAAAAACACATTAGCGCAAGCTGCCGTTACTGGCACTGATGGAATATAAATATTGTTAATGTTCACGGGCCCTCAGTCACTGACCGCGCTTCCATCATCCCCGGGGAGAAATACTGGCCCCTGTGGAATTTCAGATACGGCACCAGAGAGACCAGTCTAGCAACCATGCATATAGTTTCGGCCATGTGTATTGTTTTGGCCTGAAGGAATGAGAACGACTCTGTTTACAGAGGAAAGAGAAATTTCATCCACTTAAAATATTCGGCTTATTTTGTGTAAAAATGACACACAGGAGAGAAACTGCACTGATAAAAAGCTTTTTATTCATTTTTATTTTGCAAGAAAGAAAAATTGCTAATACTTTTTTTTTTGTACAAAAAAGAGACCATACAAAAATACTAGGTGATTTTAATACAATCATAAATGTAGTTTTAAAAACTTTATTAAAATGTACTATTAAAAAAATCTAACTTCACTGAATAAAAATCTGTTGTTCAGTCGATGCTTTTCAAGCAGTAGTTGTAAATATAAACACAGGTCATTCATAGTGGACATTTATCAGGCTTATGGGCCAGTTCACAATTGGTTTGATCTATTCAGAGGTGACAGAGGGGCCATGGCTGATGGGGGGGAAGCAGACTATACAGTGAACGGGCGGAGAGAGAGTGTAGTGTGCGCTGCCAGGACGGAAGGCAGGAGGGTTTACGTTACATTATGTACACATCCCAGAACAATGACCAGACATTTAAAAGAGTTTCACTTCTGTTCGCACAAAGGAGAACATTAAAAATCCACAGTTTTCTTTTCATTCTGCTTCATAACTATCTACATAAGATGAAGATCAACGTCCTTGACCCCCGACCCGGAACGGGAATCCTGTCATGGAGGTCCAGACTCTGTCCAGCTCCCGACACCAATGAGGCAGCGGAGGCGAATCAGAGGTATACTGGCCGCACGATTGACGACCCCCCAAGAGAGGCAACGCAAGACCCCCTCCCGACCAGCAGGAGGCAGTCAATGGCCAAAATGTGCCCCTCGTCACCCAGAGTCAATATGGAAGGGTGGCTTCACCCGGCACTGAGCCCCCAATGCTATGAGGAGGCATGGCACAGCCACACATACAATACAGTGGGTGCAAAGTTGTTGGGGGGGGGGGGGTTACAGGCTGTCATACCCTCAACCTGTCCCAGATAATACTTTTAAAAAAGGTTGCAATATGCATACTCTACCCACAGTCCCTACCCACAGGTCCTCGCAGAAACAGCAAGGTCTCAGCATCCTAAGATCATCAACAACACACTTTATAGCGACTGATTTCAGGCTGTAAGGGATGACGACGGTTACGGAGTTCGGATATAGTGCTATAAGTTATTTTACACTGTTAATATTCCTGTATATGTGCATTGTGTGATAATAATTTTACAAGAATATCATTCCTATTAGTTAGGAATTTGTTGTTATAACAGGGCCAACGTGGCTGAATTGGGGTGGGGGGGGGAATGAGGAGAAACAAAAAACAAGAGCCTCAAAAGGAGAACGAGAGCCAGCTGCACATCCAACATGACATCCATTCATTCATGCATCCATTCATCCTTCATTCATTCATCCATCCATTTGCTCATTCATAGATTGTTCCTGTTCTGCGAATCCACGGTCACAAATATCAGGAGACTCGGGCCTTGTCTGCCCACTCTCTCCTTTTTGGAAATGGGCTCTAGCTGAAATGACAGACGAAAGGACAGACATTTCCTACGGGGGTGGGGTGGGGGTGGGTCAAATGTCCGCCTCTCTTGCCTACATTCTACTGTCAGATGAGAAATCAGAGCAGCAGTTTGCTGGTCATGTGTCACAGGTGTGTTGGCGTTCTCCTTCATGCGTGCTCCAGGCCGTGCTTGGGCGCCCCCTCACACCATGTTGTGGTGGTTGTTCCTCTCTATGATGTCCGCCGTGGGAAGCAGCTCCTTCTTCACCGGAGGGGGCGGAATGCTGGTGCTCTTAGCTTTGGCCTTGAACAGGTCGGACACATAGAACACCTGGAAGAGACACGTTTCTGCATCAGTGTCGGCCTCCACTCGAAAGGCAGCAAGAACAAGATGGACAGCTGATGAGTGACCCCCCCCCCCCCCCCCGAGAAGATCTTATCGCTCCTCACTGCCAAGTAAATGACTGTGGCAAAACCCCTTGGCGGCACCCATCATGGTCTGCGGAAGGCCAAATGCAAGAATGAGTCACGCTACTGAAGGCTGGAAAGTTCTACTCGACTCATGCAGAGTCTGTGAGGTCAATGGCATTCATGGGGGGGGATGGGGGCAGCTTTTCCTGCGCCTTGAGTGATGTGAAGCAGGATATGGAGGCTGGTTTACCTGGAAGTGGTGAAAAGGATGTGGACTCTGAAAATCAGCCATTGTCAGAAACTTCCTCTTAGAGATCTGGAGACTGGCAAGTGAACAGCATGTGGCAAAGCACTTTAATGCATTTTAAATGAAATACTGATTCGACTCTGGCACACTGGAAAGATGGGTGTCTTCTAGTCATTTTCCAGATGTTTTTAAAGCCGACCAGCGGACTCTCCATGGCGTGCCGCGACACACTTGTTTTTCAGCGTACACTAGGGGCAGCGGCACAGGGAACAGGAACATTCTGGAACAGAACTGTGTGTGCTAGTGGTACTGCTTTCCAAAGAGGGCCCCTGTCGACTGCAGAGGGTCAAGACGAGTCCCGCTTCCGCTAACAAGTGATCACATTTCAAACCTTAAGGAACATGTCCTTTTGTTGGACACAGTTCCTCCGGAGGGCTGTTAACTGAGGAATGAAAAACAGGATTTCAACTTGATCCGAAGTGGGAGACGTGTACACGACTGACATTCATAAGATGCTTCAGGGAAGCCGTCGGAAAACAGTTATCAATGTTGCAGTATTCTTTAGACAATATCCACTTGTACGGAAGGAGAGAGAGATGTCAAGCATAGCGCAGTGTGACTCAGACTCGGTGAGAGGCGGGTCTGCCCTACGGAATTACATCATGCTATTTACTGGGAGACCTTGTCATGCCTTGAAGCGATTCCCATTCTGTAACAAAGGAGAGGCATTTTTGCTCACATTACGTCTTTGTGCTTAAGACTTGCCCTCTCCGAGTAGCACTCAACCTCCGACCTCAGCTAAAGGAGCTTCCATGAGCCGCAAGCAGCAAACCAGGCTTTCCTGGATCTTTGTTGCCGACAACGTACGGTCAGCAATGGCTGGGGGGGGATCAGTGTGAGACACTCCCCAGGACGAAGTGTGGGTCTCAGAGTCTCCAAGCAGGACCCCATCCAGCACCCCACCTAAAATAAGGCACGCAGACGAAAGCAGACAGGCCTGATATACTTCAGAGCGCCATCGTGGACGGCAGGCGCATTGGTCTCTATAAACGGCAAGTTCTACGGCGTTTGACTCATAAGAATGCCGGAAATTACACCGTAAAATTGCCTCCGATCCCACGGCCACTCACTGCATAGAGCCCTCTGCACTGTGCTGTTCTTCAGACCTCGGTGACACTGCGTTTGATGGGGGCAGAGGAGCCCTCCAGTTCCACAAACAACAGGAGGCATTTTCCAAGTATTCAATGGCGAGATGTTAAACCTGCTTAGTCTCCCCCACCTCTGGCACCCCAGTAATGAACATTCCCCAAAGTTATTCTTCCGAACTGGCCTTTGGTGGTAGAGATTAAGCTCGCCCTCCCGAATGTCTTCAAATGAGTGATGCCATCCACCTAGCTAGGCGATGGCTCGGTCATCATCAACGGGCTGATGAAGGTCCGGGGGCAGGGCCTGGACCTTCGACAGGTAGTGGGGGGTGTCCTTCTAAGATGGTATATCGTGGGGAGACTGGAGCTGCTGTCTCCCCAAGTCAGACGGCTCACTTGAAGGGGTCCTATCTCGATGACCACATCGCTCCCCCCCCCCCCCCCGCTTATACCGGGCGAATCGTCGGCATGCGATTGTGATGGCTGCTCCCCCAGCGTCACCATGGATACGCTCAGCGGACACAGACATGTCGCCCGCGAGCTCCGGCCTTCAGTGAGGCAGGGCTGCCGAAAACAAAACGTGAATTTCCCTCTGAACATCTGCCTGAACACACAGAACTTGGAATTCAGTAGGCTTTGGCACCACAAAGACAAAACCCATTATGAGCCCGGTCTTGAATCGAGTGTGAAAATACTGACTTTTTAGAGGGAAGTTTAAACTTTTTCCACTGTACCTGAGGACTCTCATAAATCTTATTTACACCATCGTGACACCCTTCCTCCCCTGTGCGGCAGTTTACATGCTGCAGCGTTTGACCATAAAATCCCAAAATGCAATAAATAACACTAATCGTGGCCCTTGGGAGCCTGAGAAGGAGGTGGACCCGACCTCTGAACATCACGCAACGCACTTCGTGTCGCTGTTCCAGCTCAGGCTGCCTGCTCTCCTTTAAAGCCAGCGCAGAACTGGAGGATATTAAACATTTTTTAATTGCAGGCCATAAGCACTCGCAGATGTAGGCCTGGCTCACGCTCGGAGGCCAGCGGGGAGGTGGGCATGGAGCTAAAGTGCTTCAGAGAGGATGTGACACATGAAACAGGCCAACAGGACCTCCATCAGCTGGGTGGTGCCGTGTCTGAGTCACTGGAATGGTATACGAGTTTTTGCACCCGAGGAACTCACGCCCCTACACTGTACCACCAGAAAGTCTGCACTGTACTCTACGGACACACTGCTCTCTGAAGCAGATGCAATCTCGGAATACCCCAAGCTGACCTACGGGTACGACTTCCTGGTCAAGGTGGAGATTGCAGGCTGCAGATGAGGCTGAACTCCCCAAGACAGAGATGACTCCACGGGGAAGGCAGCAGCAGACATAGGCAGACATCTGGACAGAGAGCCACAGCAAAGGTTTTATGGCTACCAGCGATGGCCTTTACATTCGAAGCCAAGGACAAATTAAGAAAAACGGCAAAGAGTAAAATCCACGTCCCCAAATCATGCTTTCTTAACCATAATTGCTCATTAAACTTGTTACTTGTAAATGCCTGCCAGACAGATAGTGTGAAGGCCAGGCTCAGACCAGGGGGGCACGAAGAACAATAGGGGGGGGGGGCTATTACATGTCAATCAGCACAATGAAAGATGTTGAGGACTATACAGTAGGGTGTTTTCTTTTGTAACGATCGAGAGCTCCGTATAGTCTTATGACTGGCTGGAACTTGTCTCTGGACAGATTCTCCGCACAGCAAGTCAGTCCACAGGAGGGAAGGTGATAAAACGTTCAAGAGAGCACAAGACCCCCTGAAGCGGACCTTTGCTTGCAAGTTTTTGGTAGATTTTCCAAATTCTGTGAAATAATAAATGATCCAAGAAGAGTCTCCCTCATTTTGAAATCTTCTGGGCAGCAGCAGTGCGGTGCAGCTTTGTTAAATAAACACCAGCAGTTCTGTTTATTTCCAGCAAGACCCGTCCACCAACTGAGATAATGGAGCGATACTTGTAAAAAGCAGAGGCTGGATATTTGAGCCCACTGACGGCCAACCGAGAAAATGATACAGATCATCACAATCAGGCCCCACAGCGTTCCCCATCGTGCTGGCAGGACATGGGGACAGAGGCAGGGCGTGTGGAAAAGGGGCCGTCCACCTTTTTCCATAAGCTAAATACAGGCTTTGCGAAATCCAAGCTTCAGTGAAGCTTGTAAGTGATATTGGTACAATTTTTTAAAATTATATTGGCTAAACATTAAGTTTGTAGTTATCAGATCCGGTGACCCTCACGACTACATTTTTCATCAAGCTCATTGGGGTGTTAAATGTAATGATTTAAACATCAAGCTTGTGTATGCAATTATGGTTAACTACGCATTTAGTTCTGTACCTCACAGACTGACCAAACTGATCAACGTTCACCTCACTCCACCAGCCTCCCCGAAGAAGAATATAAACTCCACCCACATTCATGGGAAGTTTAGTTAAAAAAAAAAAAGACTTACAATGCAGTAGGCCACCAATGCCCCCTGAACGAATCCCGCCAGGACGTCGGTGGGGTGGTGCTTGTGGTCGGACACGCGGGAGAGGCCGGTGTAAAAGGCCATCATCAGAAGGGTGAACTGCAGGAGGGGCCTCAGGAGACGGGCGCCGCGCCATGTGAAGCGGGACTGCAGGTAGAACTGGGGGGGGAGCAGACACACAGCAAGGATGAGTACAACCGGCACGTTTATCGGCGTGTTAAGAAGGCAGGACTGCCTCAGCCAACAGCGGCCTACGACAGTGAAGGAAATGAGCTTGAATGACAGACCAGAAAACAGAAATTATTTCCTGCAAGTGATATTCTTGCATTTAAAAAAAACCACCAAAATTTAAAAAATCAAGAAGGTGGAATAACAGACTAATAGATAGTTATCTACCAAGGTTTCAACGATTAGTGGTGCGGTGACAGAGACCAGAGACCATAAACACAAAACAAACAAATACTGTGTAGATTCTCAGCTCTTTCATGCCTTAAATTCCTGTCGTGGCAGACACAATATGATTTGCATACGACACAGAGCGCCTAAGTACTTTGTTTTTGAGACAAAGGCGGGCAAGCTGAGGCCACAGCAAAGACACACAAGAAGCCACAACATTCTTGTTTATTCTCCTTCCCAAAAAACTATAAGCACTCGTCATGGGCCAGAACTAGGATGGGTCATGGGTCAGCAGAAGACCACCCTCAATCAGACTGAACTATCAGGTGGGCTCCATTGCTACTTGACTTGGATATCTGATCATATTTTGCAGAAGTCAGCACTGTCGTGGGAAATCCTTAAGAATTCTGCATTAGGCTCAAAACAAATGACAGACACATAGATAGATACATAGATAGATAGATGCATTGTTAAAAACATTTAAGATGCATTTAGAGCTTATGAAATTATGTCTAAATAATCTTTTCAATTTGGAGACCTGGCTGGTAGGTTCCACACACAATTTTTATTATATGCAAAGGCGGTTGCTACAGGCTTCTCTTCCGGCAGATAAGGGAGAGAGTCCCGCTTTCCCCGAAGCCGCCTCATCCGCGGTGCCTTTATCAGTATTTACACACAGAGGGCACTGGTGAGACACGGCTGTACGACATTCACATCAGTATGTTACTACACCTCTGTCTCCGGTGCCGTGACATGGTAAAACGTATACATTATTATTATTTTTTTTAACGGGCCATTTACTTGTAGCGGATAACATTCGGGTTAAATAATTGTAGCGCCATCCTGCAGGGTTGCCAACTCTCACGCAGGAAATCCTACGGCAAATCTATATTATTCCACTATAAACCTAACATTAGCTACATCAAAAGCGTTGGGATAGTTTGCAAACCCTACAGACTATTTACAAGGTAATAAAACTGTTGCATATATGTAAAAGAGTATGCATGCGTGTGCAGACTTGTCTCAAATTGGAAAATCTCACGCCAGCCAGCTGACCAAAGTTCGCAACCATGATCGTAGAGCTGTTGGGAGAAACGTTAAAACGGCGACCGACAGTGCGAGTTATAAAGCTTAACTACGGCTGAAAATTCACTGCCTACCTGACTGTCCGTGATGTCTTTTACAATATTATACATTAGCGAAACGTTTGGCGTGTTTGCTAGCAGGGTTGCCGCCTCAGTGCCATAAAATCCTGTACATCCACTCACTGACTAAAAATACTGCAAGGTTTGTTTATGTCTGTTTGATGGGGAAAATAATAGGGATATTCCATGTCCAAGAATGAAATTGTTCACGACCAGAATCCTGGACGGGTGACAACCCTATTTTTTTAGCAAACGTTAGCTTGTAGTCGCACCGTAGCACATTAGTAAGTGATTTGGCTAATGCTAGCTACCGGACGGCCATTTTTAAAATACGCGGTATCGGGATTCACCCATGACGCATTTCCGGTGATGCTACCGGCAATAAAGAAACTCAAGGCGCAAACTGCACGAGACCTGATGGTAAAAGTATGTATTCCAGGGACCGGGGGATTACAGGGATTTGAGAACTTTGTTAGTTACTGGGTCCTTTTTACATTTCTCATCTCAAGTAAGAGGTACGGTGATGGTGTCATTAAAATCTGAGCCAGAACTCCCAAGGAACCAGCAGGTTCGTTCCATTTAAAAAAAAAAAATGTTATTAAAAATGTATATTTTAAAACAATTATTTAAAACATATACAGACCTGGCATACAAATGTAATTTCACAATATATTTTAAGCATAATATGTGTGTGTGTGTGTGTGTGTGTGTGTGTGTATATATATATATATATATATATATATGCATGCTTAAACAAATGTACTAAATGTTTATAAAGCCTTTCAACAATCCCGCAAATAGTCCCCCCTCGCCTTTTTGCGGGGTGAGGGCAGTGAAGGAGGTGGTATCACAGTTAGCACAAGCTTTTACTGGTGGCTTAAGGAAGTTGTTCCAACACGACCCCACACAGGGCAGCGGGAGGGTAACGATGCCTTGACAGTGGTAATAAATACCGTGCGGGTGCCAAAAACAGACGCGGCCATTACGTCTGCAGTGCTCAAAGTGGCAACTGGGGTGTGACCCTCTTCTGCAGCTCGGCCACCCAGCCTATGCCCCCCCCCCCCCCCCCCCCCTCCCCCGCTGACAGAAGATAAAGGGACACCTACAACCCCAGCTAAGAACCTTTGTTCTGCAGCACTTCCCTATCAGGAAAGAATGTCTCGCTCACTGCTCTCAAAGGGAGATGTGAAAGAAGGCAATCAGATAACAGGCCGGTAATCAGTGCTGGAAGAGCTGTCTTGTGCCCTGGAATGGGCAAACAGTCTCCAGGGATAAACCTGGTCACAGCCACCAGCTAGTCCTTATTAAATAAACTTAATGGTTATGCTGAAGCAGCCACTTTTATAGTGTCAGCTGTTATTAAAGTCGAAATTACAGCTTCATGTTCATTCCCTATATTGTAGTTCATCTTCCATTTGCTGTTTGAGCCAAAACAAGCACTGCAGCACTGGAATAAAATCCACTGGCTGGAGATGGCATCTGCATTCATTCGTCACCCAAAGTACATTTTAAAATATTTTTTAAAGGTTAAACTGCCTTCCCCTCCTGGGTGAGTCTGCCACACTGCATGGGCCCTCCTAACTTTCAAGCGTCTCCCATGGCACGCCGGACGGCCCAGGGGTCGGTGGCTTGGGTCTCACCCCGTCGCCGTGCGGTCTGGGTTTTCTGGACGCACCCGCAGCCAAACCCAGAAGCAGTCTGCAAGGAGGTTACGGCGAGGCTAGGAAATACCCACTGTATGAAGCCTCCTCCGCCACAACACATGCTGACATCACCACCACCACAGCCGACTACGTCCGCCGTGGGTGGGGGGAGGGGAGGGGATGCCCGGGATCTCGGTGTGATTCCCGGGAGAAAACATTTTGGTTCTGGCAGACATAATATCCTGCCACGGAAAATGGTTGTTTTCTGCATACTGGTTTGAACTCTGAAGACCAAACTGGGTGATCGAAAAACGAAAAAAAATAATTTACCAAAAGTTCTGAATCAATGAATCAACAGCCACCTGGAAGGCACTGTAATTTAAAGCTTCCGCTGACACAGCAGTTGTGTGGATGTCCCTACAAGACAAAGCTTGTTTTTGAAATAAGACACCCTTCCCTGCAGCTCACTGAGCAAGACAGTGAGAGTCAACGATTTCATCCAACCCTTCATTCCCATATAATTGTCTAACTTTTTGTGTCTAGGCCTGCACATGTGTCATTATTCTTTGCTGGGAATTCATGGTCCGAGGGCACGGACCACCCTTAGAGTGATGTCACCATACATCTCGTGGGGTTCACCTGCTGTTCCTTCTGCTAGTCACCTTGCTGCCAGTGTCCCAGAAACAGGGAACCCCAATAAAAAAAGCAGGCCTTTCATTTGGACCCCAGCCAAGCTGAAGTGTGGCAGGTTTTGATAAGGTTTTTTAGAAGATGTGTAGTCATTTGGATACATCTGGACAGGATACTGTCCACACAGCAACTGCTGCAGATCGACAACCAGAGAAAGGATAGAGCAAAAGGTGAAACCTTCTGATATGCAACCCACGCAGTTAACAAGGTAGAATTTATCTGCCCAAACTAAAATAAGCCACAAAAACCCCTGCCTGGGAGCAAGAGGGATGAAGGAGCTACTCACCGCCAAGTACAGCATGGTGTACATCGAGAAGGAGGCGTGGCCTGAAAAGAACGATTTCCTGGGGGGGGGGAAAAACCCACAAAAATCCAAAAATTAATGGAAAATCGGCAGTGCCGAGCAACAGTTCATATATCTACACAGGATATTAAAACTGTTATGTTCATCTCATGTTTCTCACTGGCTTTCATCGAGTCCCAGCCCTTTGTACTGTCAATCAGCACTTTGTGAGCTTAATATTGGACCCCATTTCTACAACACTGGGTGAGACGATATATGACCAGCAGTCAAATGATTAAATTAATCAGCCCTTAATTTGAACCCTGAACACAAACATTATATTCCCGATCAGTACTGTTTTTAGCTTATATATACTTCTTTACAGTCCTCCGCTGAAGTGATCTCAACAACGAACAGGCATGTAGGTAGGTAGATATTTTATAATATCTGACGTATTTTTATCTTTTGCATTGGTTTAAGCACACTTGACAGCCATAGAAAAATCCACGCTGAGGTTTCAGGGGACCATACCTGGCCTCCTGCACCACTTTACTGTCTTCCTCCTGGCAGCTATATACAGTTATATAGCCACTGGAGCAGTTGATTGTGGAGAAGTCCGGCCTGCAAACGGCCAGGAAGTGTGGCCGCAACCGGCCCACCGACACCTTGGCGATGTCCGTGAAGGACTGGCTAATAGCACAGCCGAAGATGAAGACGCCCACTTGTTTGTACAGGGCGGAGATATAGGGGTTGCCCACAAAGGACTTGGAGCCCTGGTTCAGGTAGTGGATCCTGTACCACTCCCCAATGATGATCTGAGAAGGAACAAGGAGACAGTAAGTGAAAGGTCCCAAAAGTGTCAGTTCTTGGTGAATCTCTTTGGTACTGGGGCCACGTACCAGCTTGTGCCCATCTGAAGGTCAGATGGCAAAGATGCAGTTCTAGTGACCATGAGATTTAGGACTTTCACACATAACACATGGGGGTGGATTAGAAGACAAATGAGGGATGACCATGCACGTTTAATGGCCTGTCTTGCCTGGATTAAACCATTAGCTTGTGGTGAAATGAGACGTTTATTCATTACTTGATTAAAAATGTGTTAAAGAGCGTGGAGACCGTTGGTGAGGTGTTAGCCCCATAGCTATGCAGTGCAGCAGATGGTCTGTTCCCAGCAGCTTACAGCCAAGATCATGAAGTGTGGACCCATCTGCATGCCACAGCTTAGACACGCAACGTCTCGAAGGTCCACACAGTTGGTATTGGCATTGCTGATTAGAGGCTCTGGGCCGTCCCACTTAAGCCACTTAAGTGTAACTTGGCTTCTCTATTCCCAAGAAGTACCGCTGATTCATGGTGGATGGGGTTTGCGTATCCGGAGTCCATCTGAATGAGCCATGCTCACTTGCTCCGTCTGACACTTGAGAACCAAAGGCCCGCCCTGTGGGCACAGCGGGCAAGATGTGCCACTTCAGGATAAACAGAGTGGGGTGGGAAGGATCAACAATAATTGGCCACAGCTGCACTCAGCACAACCGCCCACCCCCGTCACCACCCTTCCCGGCAGGAGCCCAAGGAGGCAGCTGGTTTTAATCACCAGATCTGCTGAGCTTGGAACGTGGGCCTTCATCTGGAGAGCTGCTCCGTTTGGGTCCCCCCCCCCCCAAGCCCCTCCCTTGGCTCCTAATTGCAAAACATTTCAGCAGAGGGCCGAAAGCTCGGTGCGAGAGCATCAAAAAGTTTAACCGTGATCGCCGTCAGGGTCTCTCCTGGCTTTTCGCTACTCCTTAACGAGATAAGCCTTTGAGATTTGAGCAGATGTTGACAATCTGAGGGCTCGTGGCACCAATTAATGCTGTTTTTACAGTGGAAAATCTGAGCCACCTATCTAAAATGAAAACAGCCATTAACTGAAAAACAGCTCTGGGGTACATTTGGACCAAGACTGCAATCTTAATGTGTTTTAAGGACAGGGGCTATATCTACCGTGATGTCAGGTGTCTTTGTAAGAAGCTCCTTAATGCCATACAAACCTCAATAGGTTTAAAAAATGAAACAGAACCAAGATGCAGAACAGGCCTCTTTACTGGAACATTCTATGGTCCCAACTAATTGCAGCGTCCTGGCATCAACTGTAATATATGTTTCTGGAAACTTTCCAACTGTAGAAGCCACATGGAATCCCACATGTCCACAGATTACTGTAGAAAATGGAATGACAAACGAGGGAAAAACGTGACCTCTGAGGAGATGCAGGCGGTCCAATTCTCATGGTGGAGAGTCTAAGCAAAACTGATTGGACCCACGACGATACCTCTGCCGTACAGCAGAGTGCTATGATGAGAACTAGCTAACTCTGTTCATGTCTTTTCTTCCTTCTCTCCTCCAGAGCAGAATTCAGTTGTTGGAATGGTATGGCACAAGTCAACCGGCATGTTTACCCTTTTGACATCTCAGAAATATGACAGAGTCATGCCATGATAAGACAGAGCATGCGAGACGGAAAGAAGCAACAACGAGATATGATAAAGTGCATTAGCTAAATTAGCAGTTCTAGATGAAGATGCAGCTAAAACAAGGAGCCAAAATTGTTTGACACCCAGTGCTGCTGGGGATGTTGGCAACCTGGGAAGCAGCCAAGCAGAATTTAATGGCACCACTATGGAAGTTAGTGCCTAAATGCTTCTGAGGGACAGACGTAGCTAAATAAACAGATCACAGTTGGCAGGTCACAGACGGGACAGCACAGACATCATTTGCTGGGTAGGTACTGATAAAGGAACTTACAGAAAGGATGGCGACGACAATGCCCACAGCGCAAAGCACAGCGTCATTTATGGTTTCTTCCTTTTTGGATGGGTACTTGATGGACTCGTCGTCGCAGTAAAAGCCGCGTTCGTAGGGCTTGACAGCGCTAGACTCAATAACCAGGAAAGGCAGGCCAGCTACAGCAACACCACAGCAGGCGTGGGGCGGGGGGGACAAGAAAAGGGTTTCAGGTCAGTGACGGACACAAGAACATGGGGGGCACACAGAAGGGGCACAGGGCAGGGCAGCCAGGCAACGAGGGGGAGGGGGTCATCTCAGGGACTCTCCTGTGCCCTGAGTAATGTACTCTTCACGGCTGGGATCTTCCAGAGCAGTGTTTCATAATCCGGTCCTTGGGGACCCCCAGACAGTCCATGTTTTTGCTGGTATCCAGCTCTAGGAAGGTAGCAAATATGTGGACTGTCTGGCAGGGAGATCGGAGGGAGCAAAAACATGGACCGACTATGGGTCCCCAAGGACCGGATTGGCAAAAACTGTTCCAGTCCATGTCATGAAGACAAAAAGACAACGAAGGTGGGGTTTCCCCAAGACCCCGCCCCTCATTGCCTGACTCTGCTGCACTGTGGAGAACTTACAGAGGTGACTGGCACTATGAGGCCTGTGGCCAGCAGGATGGGCGAAGGGACGGTACTCCTTTTAAAGGGGTATCTGATGCTCTCGTCGTCACAGAAGAAGCCGCGCTGGTAGGGCTGGACAGCCGCGTTGTGTACCGTGATGGAAGGGAGCATGACTGCGCAGACAGACAACACTGGCATCAGCCCACCTGCTTCAAGTACTTACCTGTGGTTCTAACCGGAAGGGGCCTTACACATTTCATGTGGAGATTCAGTCTTTTACTCAATTGAAATGGAAACATTGCCTTACAAAATAAATGCTAAGCTCAGCAGAAATACACGTTCACCCGCTTAGAGAAAGCCACAAAGTATTCCTTTAACTGGAGCTTTGATCAGGAAGTACTAATTTCAAGTCCTTCAGTTCATTTCGAGGATTTCAGAGTGTACCCCTGTCTTGTTCCCTGTGCATTCTGGGATAGACTCCAGGGCTCCCTAAGACCGTGACCAGGATAAGCAGTTAGAAAAAGGATGAATGGAGTTCTTGTAGACAGACCAGGCTTGAAATATATATTAAACTATAGAAGACTATACACACACACACACACACTTCACCTTCCAGACACTCTACATCCCAGATTGGAAGAATAATTCTAATTAACTAAGCAAACAGCCACCATCCAATCAGACTGCACTCAGTCAAAGGGAAAGCAGACTCCTCCAGCGCGGATCCGTCTGCAGACAGAACCCAGCACTTTCCGTGGGTCTCAGTATGTTGTTCTTTCTTCCCCAAGTTTAGTCAGCCCAGCAACACTCAGAAGCTAAGCCATTTCCAGACATGACAACTGACTTCTCATCCAGTGACCTACAGTAACTTCTTTCAGCTGAAAACGTCACTTGTGTGCTTGCATTTTTTTTTTAAATTATAGTTCTTACCCAGCAAACTGAAGAATAAGCCAAGAAAAGACAAGGGAAACATTTCCGAGAAAAAATCTGAATAGTAAATAGTAAATGCAGGAATGATGTTAGTTACATTTTGTTTTTTTTCAGCACAACCTAAACCACACAAACTTTTTTTATCCCTCCAGCCAAGAAAAGAAAACATGAACTGCTAGATAATATCAGAAAGCCAACCCCAATGCAGGTCTAAGATTTCCAAATATAACATAAAAATAATATAGGCAAACCAATTTTTTTCCATTTTCCTTAAACCGGTCAAGCATCTGTGGCCCCATTGTCCTTTACACATACTTTCAAAATTCAAAATCAAAACTTCTCATTAGAGTTACACAAAAGTAAACCCCTAACAGCCAAAGCTCATCGTCTGAGATTCTGTTCACACACGGCCAACCCACGGTGACAGATTATGATGCTAATGAATGCCCCCTAAATGCTTTAGGCATATGCAAGAGCTGCCAGTTGGGTGTTTTTATCCAGCTAACTACGTAAAAGCCAATTAGGGGGAATTTAGACTATGAACAGAATCGATTCACAGCATCAAAAAAAATAAATAATAATAACTGGACCTTGACTCTTCGAGGAACATGGAGAATGACAACATTCCTAGGGTCTGTGAACAACAGAATAGGCAAGGTCTAAGATAAAGCCTCAGTGGACGTTTTGAGAAGTAGGGTTTCTGGGTAGTGCTTGGCCTGCTGGGTAATGCTTCGCCTGCCTCTACAGACCATGACCACATGTTTACAAAAGTCCTTCTATGCACAACAGGTCCTCCAGCGCTAGGCCGAGGCAACATTGTTCTGTTCTCTATGCCATTGCCAGGAGAGCACCTTGGAATGTTGGGATGCCTCCATTTCAGACCCTCCTTAGCCAATGGGGGGGGAAACAACCAGTTCCTTTGTGGTGTGGGGGAGGGGAGCATGCGTTGCTCTGAGGACAAAAACTTGCCACAAATGGCATTTTTCGCAGAAGTGAATGACTGGGTGTATGGGGGGGGGGAGCGTGGGAATGTGCGATTACTCAAAACTACAGCATCCAAGCCTCGACCCCCAAGCCTGCCCACACTTTTGTTCTGTCCCTCAACATACACACCTGATTCTTCGAGCCAACTAATTTGATGACCTGCTTCAGGCTCGCGGGAAGAAGATCAGCACGCGACTGGCCCAGCCCAAGGCCGCAGAGTTTATATCAAGAGGTCATCAGTACTGCTTCACCGACTAGCCTTCCGCTGAAGCCATAATGGAAAACGACTGGGCTGCACTGCTGCAGGCGTGAACAACAAGCGTCCGCTGCACTTATCTGATCGCGGCACACAGCTCTCTGCTGAAACAGCACAGACTCCCCCCGCTGTCGCTGGCAATCGACCCGTTACGTGCCGTTGAAAGTCAGTCAAACGATAAGACGCCAAATACTATCGACTGGGCCTCATTCGGGGGGGCGCACATACAAAATACAAAAATCCCCCCCCCGACCGGGCCCCCGTCCCACCACCATGCTAAGCAAACCTATGATACACAGACTTTAACTCAGAATGGCAAACCACAGCAAGATTACGGATTTCAGGTGTCTTTTATCATCCGGGGTGTGTTGAGGTTTTGGGAATTCTAAAGTAAGAGGGGTTCAGTATGCTGTACCAATGCAGGAGAAAATTAATAGGGTAGTTCCAATGAGTTTAGAATACCCTACAGACATTGTTGGTGGATTTGCAACATAATCCCATTCTGCACCACCAGATCATGTCACTGGTCCACCAAACTTTCAGGCTTTGGCATACCTGGCAGGAGCAGGTAGGGGTGGGGTAGCAGGGGAGTACAGGGTTTGAGCTGAAACTCTATAGTGTAGAGTACAACCCAAGGTCTGAGTCTGGATGAGGAGAGGAGCTCCAGCCTAGAAACTACTCCCCAGGCTACCTCTGCTTTCAGAAGAATCAAGGGCTTGTAAATCATCTGCTAGTAGCCACATGGAAAACCATCTCTACTCCTGCAGAAAACTCCACGTGCTCTCCCACAGGACCCTTCCACGACTCCAGGATTTATGGTTAGCAGGCTAACCATTTCAAACAACTCTGCAGGAACGTCAATCCGCCTGAGTCTGGCACCTTCCGTCTACGTGGCACGGAGCAAAAGCAGTTTTACGAGGAGAGTTCTCATATATCTTTTTGCACACACTTTTTTGGTCTGAAGAGCCAATGACGACTGATGTGCATTTACAGTACGACGTCTGTGGGATGTTTCTATGGTCATATTTTGGACCCATTACTACACACTCACCACAGGTGATCGGTGCATTAGAACAGAGGTCTACTAAACCCAGAGGAAGGCTCTTAAAGACATGCCAAGGGTGGCCAACCCTGCAGCCTTTAACATTGTCTGCTACTTTTATGTGGACAGGCCCGGAAACGAGAGGGGTGACATACCCAGAAGCACAGGGAGGGAACAGGGCAGCGGTGAAAGGTGGAAAATGTGATGGCTTACTACTCTGTCTTTGGGCAAAAAAAGGAGGTTTTAATGAGCTATTTCAACATGTGATGGAGGTCTTCTGGAGAAAAGGCAGGGACAGGAGATTTTAGGGTGATGTACAATGCGTGGTTCCACCTCTCTCTTTGGGGGGGGGGGGGAGTTGGAAATTAGAAAGAAAATAGCAACAAGCAGCAGCTGTGTTGGCATCACATGGCCGTTACCAAGGAAGCGAAGACGGCTGGTGCTTCATCGCAGCCTCATTTATTAGGGTAGTGGCGTGCAGCCCCCCCCCACCCCGCTTGCCCCCCTCTGCCCCAGCATGTTTACCTGGGAAGTAAAGTTACTTAGGGATCTCCCTCTGGCTTCCAATGGTGTGTGTGCTTGGAGAACAACACGTCCCAGGTGGGTCCAAAGAACATCACCTTCGCCGGAACATGGCTGGTCAGTCGTGCAGTTGGCAGGTGTGTGAGACATCGCCAGGTGTGGACACATTGTCAAACTGGGATTATCAGCAGCCAGGGGGGCAGGAGCGGTACCCTAACAGGCCCCCGTCTGTGCTTTCCCCACTGACAGAACCCCCCCCCCCCAATCCCCCGCTGCTGCCAAACCCACTAACTGATACTTTCTAGCTGAGCTCAGAGCCTGTCCTTTGGCGATCTGGGGGTATGAAGAAGGGGCAAAAGTACTGAAAAACACGCCTGCACTGTTAATCAAAATAATGCCCAAAGTTGAAATACTCTGCTTCTCAAGGCCATAAGCAGCAAAACCCTTTGATTCCGATTCACGAAGTTGTGGAGTGATTTCCAGCATTGAGCTTGTGACCAGGACGTCAGCCCCCCCTCCCCCCTGCATAAGGTGTTTTGTGTATTTAGAAAGTCTCATATATACATGGCTTTGCCTACAAACATGCAACCTCATCAAATGAGCTATCAAGAATGCTTTCATGGCATAATCCAAACCCAGCCCTCCACCATGATCATCCTCCAAATCATCTGCACGTCATTCCTTTGCAGAAATCCCACACCCCCCACACAGTCAAGAAACATTGTCTTCATCATAAATAATTATAAGGCTGGCCCTGCTTTGCCGCCTGTGCCAAGGCTGACTCACTGAAAGAGACAGCTAACTTTTGGGGTGCCATGCCCAGAGGCGGCTTTGCCCAGCCAGCCGGGGGCGGAGTCTACGCTTCCTTTGAAAACATTTCACTCGCTTTTTCGTGCCTCTGAATGCGTAATTCTGCTGGAACAGTTCTGGTAGAGCTGCTTTTTATGCACAGTTAAACTGGGCATCTTGGTTTGATTGTAGAAGTTGGAGAGCACCCCCTCCCAGTCCCCCAAAAAGGGGGGAGAGGATAATCAAGTAATTATTAAAGCAACTCCGCATCAAGAAGCTCGCTGGGGATCCTGAAGTGTCAGCACACAGACAACAATGGCGACTTTGTGCTAACTTGACCTGAAATCAACAACAAGTTTGGCGTTAAGGTTTAACACACACACACATGCACACACTAACCCCTTAGTGATCCTCTCCTAACACCATGTTCTCCACCACAGCCAGACACGTTCCTAGCACAGGCGTCGAGATTCATCTGGCTTCAATCTTCTTTCGGATTTATTGGAATCCAGTTGCGAGGAGCAGGGATCGGAGGGGGCCGGAGGGGGCCCGGAGGCTGCTTTGAATTCAAGAAGTGAACCACTCAACCGTTAACTACTGAAATGGTTAAATGGGGAGAGAGCTGGCCAGTCTGCTTTGCCCTTAGGACCACTAAGGAAAGGGAGACTCCCCACTGCCACGCCGCTTGACACGGCTGCAGACGCTCTGAAGGCGACGTCGCCCCAAAACCACCCAGAAAAACAAAAAACAGACGTGAAACCGTGTGACGAAATTCAAGGTCCCCACGACGGAACCACGTATTCTGTGGGTCTTTGGGGATAAACATCCTTAGTTTTGTTTGCTTGGTGACTTTGTTTCCAGGCTATAAGGCTGGGCCTGAAAAAAGGGGACATGTAAAGCGAAGTACAGGGCGCTGCCGTCGATTACTGTAGCGGAGGGCTCTGCAGTGCCAAAGCACTAGTGCTGGCGGACTGACCGAGGCATCCCAGCGTGACGTCAGGCTGGCCAGGCAGTTACATTCATTCTGGGGCATGTCAATTAACTACGTCAATAATACAGCAGATAGTGACCTGGGGTCTGTGGTGGTATAAAAATACACCAAAGTTATGAACTGAATAGGCCTCAACGAAGTGCATGTCAAATAAACAGAAGGGCTTTAAGAGAAAGTAGCAGGCGTCTAACCCCTACTCAGGTGCTGCTTAGGGTGGTGTGTAGGTTATATACGGAGTTGAGCTGGAGGAGATAAGATGCCAGGCAGCCTGCTTAAAAACAGCCAATAAGGGCATATAACTGAGAGACAGGCTACCAGGGGACTGCTGTCGGACTCCGAAAGCTCGACGGGAATATTTAACATGCATTTCTGAAGGAGTGCCATCGGACCACTGACACACCGGCACGCGGTGGTCAGGCGGTGGTGCGCCTTTCAGGGGAACCGTCCGGTATTCTGTGGCCGTGCCTCTCCAGAAAATTGCAGGTTGGGCTTTTGGGGGTGACTGCTGTAATTAACCAGAGCAGCAATCTCTGGTTTACGAGCCGCCGCCCCAGCGAGATCTGCAAAGGCGCTAAGGAGAACGTCCCGTCGGCGTGCAGGTTATGAGGTGGACTGACAAGGTGAGTCAAACCCACACCACCCAACCAAGACAGGAATTCTGTAAAACCTGGAGGATCATACATTTAATTCAACAGGACCAACATGAATGTTTACATGGTACGCTTAATCCAGGTTAACCACTGCCTCACCATTTCACAGAACTACTTAGCTGAACTTAGGAACTTAAGTGGTTTAAATTATAACAATTTGGTATAGCATGTAAACACCTCTGTGGACCATATTGCAGACTGCAGACAGACCAAAACATATGGTTTCAATGATAATCATCAGGGTCATTCTACTAGGTTTGGTCATGACGTCTACAAACCAGCTGCTCAAAACAAGAGCCGTGGGCTATTAACCGAGTAGATGGAAGCGCAGACATCTCAACGCACCTGTAGACTGCTCAGCTCTGATTGGGTTCTCTCTGAGTTCCAGGGGGGCGGGGAGCTCTGCACCTTCCACTATTTCCCTCCCCCAAACACTAGTGACAAGTTTACGTCAATGCCGCGAGTCTGTGTGGAACGGGACAGATCCTGGAAGCATTGCACTTCAAGAACAGGGCAACACAAGATCATTCCAGACACTTGGCAGCGCTTCGGCAAAATAACAGGTCGGTTTCCCGGTGTTTTCCAAGTATAAAGAGATGAAGATAAAGTTTCACTTTTTTTTCCCCGCAGAAAACTGATGTCAGGGTCAACAGCAAAGAGTTCTGTCATAAAACGCCGCCACAGACCAAGGACAATCTTGCATGGCGGATCTTAGTGTAAGAACCAGCTATTACATTCATCGGTGCGTGCCGCCAGCCCGTTAATCTCACTCCACAAACTCGTGAACCTCGGAGGGCACAATTGTCATGCAAATGTGGAGAAAATGATCACTTCTCCAAAATATCCCAGAAGGCAATGGGATAAGAATCTCAGATTGAGTCATTTGCTGGACTGAAGAGTGGAAAAGCCATGGGGAGAGAAACACAGGTGGAGACCGCCGTGATGGGACGGCAAGCTTGGTCACATTCCACCTGAAGCTAATGTTATGAGAGCTCCGGCTCTGAAAGACACCAGCAGTGCAGCAGTAAATTTTCGACCTGAAGTCCTAATTATTTTACTCACCTATACCAACCACATCACCTCTCATTGCCAGCATACGACCAGCTACGGTTTTGACGAACACAGACAATCCCAAGATATCATGCCATCTAACATCAAAAAGTAATTTCTGCTAATTCTACCAAGTGCTTCTAAAGACAACTTGCACAAAAGGCCAGTCGACAGATTGTACAAACGGATGCTTTTTTGACAGATTCCTGGGGAGCGGTTTAACCGTCAGGAATGTGTGATATTATTAGAGTTACACTGTCAGAAAAAAAGGACCAATTTGCACCCCTGAGGGCATAATTACCTGTCACTGGGACTATACCCTTAAGGGTCTGCCAGCTGTAGGTAAATGGACCTTCTAATCTAATTTAAGGTGCAGAAATGGACTCTGGGGAACATTGTTGTACCACTGCGGGGAACCTAGAGGAACAAAACTATACCAGGGCTGCCGGCTTTATTCTGACAGTGTACCCGATTGCCTCTGCAAACGCACCCCCCCCCCCCACAGAAAACAAAAACCCAATCAAATTAAAGGATTTAGGTAACAGTAAACCCCAAAGTCATCCATTAATGCATCTTCTGCGATTCTTTGACTACTCACACTTAACAGGTCCTGACAACACCCACACAAAACCCCTGTGGGGGCCATTTGTTAGCCACAGAACCATACCTTCAGCAATAATGTAGGGATATATTGTTTAGAATTTAGACAGCCCCTACTTGGAGCCCAAAAGGTATCCCACATACTCATTATGTACCCATTATACGTGACACAGACTGAAGCAAGTGGCAGGGAGACACAGCCACCCGGGGGGGGGGGAGACTGAACCGATGGCACAAGATGCAGCGAGACGGAAATCCCTCATAAACAGTCAAGACAAAGGCTTGCATTTCCCCCTCATATAAGTGTCAGTCTTGGGTCTATGGTGGCTGGGGGGCCAGCAGATAGATTTTTTTAAAGAGAGATCAGTCTTACTTGCTTACAAATCTCCCCACAGCTATTACTCTGCTACTGTTAATGGCATAACGTGCAAGTATAGCTAATTTACAGCAGCTTGCAGTAAACCCTCAGTGAAAACTACTGTTTAAAATGAGACGTGTCCTTTCTATTTATACCAGCTTAATATAAACAGCAAAAATGCAGAACAGGAATTTTTAAGGCAAACTAGAGACGGAAAAGTCCAATGGGGGGAGAAAAATCCAGTTTCCAAATACACGCGAGTGAAAACAGAGCTTTTTTTTAATGAAATAAGCACATTTTAAAACTGTATCCCGAGTCCAACTGCTGCTACAATTTCTTACTTTTGATATATAAACAAGCAGCGTAATCCGTGACTTACAGCGTCACCTTTTGCACAATTAAGCAAGTCGTGTCTCTGCTGTATAAGAACACAGGACTGGCGCACAGCGCGCTTTATCAAGTCGGACCGAGTGCCTGAGAAACAGATGGAGGGCTTCTCGTTGTTTACAAATTGTACATATCATTAGATACTTGCCTACCATATATCTACTGTGTTTGACCGCTAGTACTGTCAGTAAGATAAGAAAAATTAAACGGCGAGGATACAGCTGTTTATACTGATAATATTATGGACTTCAAGTAGACTAATTAAATGCGAAGAACTATCAAATGCAGACAAAAACCATGCAAAAGTCTTTTTATGGTTTTAATTATTGCTCACGTTTTTAAACAGCTGAACTTGATGGGTTTATATTAATAATTAAAGTGAAAATACATCTTTGGAAAGTTTTGCTTAAAAACACTCCATACGTAAATTTACCTTCATAAATCCGCATTCATTCTGAAAGATGTCAATAGTCTTCTTTTGCTCAGGTCATTTCAAAGATTGTTTTAATGAATGCGTGCCTCACTTTTTTAAAATTATATACACACATTTTAAGAATATGCCGCGCCTAAGACGGCATCGCAGAATGTTTAAACTCTCAAAACAACTCACCTAAAAACAAACAGAAGAGATCTAGAAAGACGAGCAGTTTCCTCTTGCTGTTGTCTATGCCGTTATTATTATTTAATGTTGCGTTTCCTCCGTTTCTGGTCTCTGGTGCCATCGTCTTCTCATACATGAAGTTTTGCATTAAAAAGTTTTACGTCTGCCTCGGTTGAAATCCAACAACAAAATGTGGCAATTAAAAACAGCAGACTCTTAAGCTCGCGTTTTAACAAAACGACAACCTATGCTGAAAACAATGAAGGGCGGGGGGTGGAATTAGCATGAAAGAAACGTTTCTCCAAAATGTTCATCCAGCGCCGGGAAAAGCGATCTCCTTGTATTGCCGCTTGCTCGCTCAGCCTAGGCGCCGGAGTGATGCTTTCCAGTAATGCAAGCCTACAGGTACTGAGAAAAGAAATGCATACACATATATCAGTGCCTATCCGTGGTAAAATATCTTAAAAATAAGTAAAATGATCTGCAGCGCACTTGTGTTGTGATGTAGCCTACAGCAAATTCAGTGTTTTCTAATCTCTATGCACGGAACTCTCGCTTGTAAGTTGTACTGCTGGTGGGCGCTTCTCCTTCTGTTTTATGAATCCTCGCCCCCCGCCCGCTCCAGAATACGCCAGCCCACTTCCCCCAGAGCCACGCTACGACTCATTATCCCCCTATTCCGACGTAAAGCTTTCCCAGGAATATTTTAGTCATCACACATGAGTCTTTAGTGCTACGAGCGATCCCGTTTTACTGGATGTTTTTGAGAGTCATAAAATGTTCTGTTTGCTTGTTTATTGGGGGTGGCACAAGATGACACTACAGTTTATTAGGCCTGTGTAATATATAGTATAGCAGTGATTCATAAACATCCACAGTGACTAGTATTTCGTGATAAAAGTGATTCGTTCGTTTCTTGCAGTGTCAATGTCATTTTTATTAAGACACAATCGCATGATCTAACCTGCATAGTAAATTGAAAATTAATGTAAATTAATATTTAAAATAGGTATTGCCTGTAGTAGGGCATGGAAAAGGAATTTTGAGAAAGCGATTACTTGCTCCCTCTAGTGGACTATAGAGATATTACAAAACCGAGCCGGAGTTCGTAAAATACGGGACACGGTTCACCAGTGACATGTCAAACGTATGAGTCGACGGTGCATTATGATTTATGCAAATGATTTATGGCATTACAAGACTGATAATTAAATAAAGTAAACTGAAAATCTAATTGCATTTATAACTTTTTGGTTTATGTTGAAATGAACATATTTTCTTTCTGATACAGTACATAGGATATAGGCCTAATGACTTCTGTTTCGCTGTGTAACATGTATTTGAGAATACGGCCTGCCATCTACTGGTAAAAATCCTGCGTTTGCGCATGTGAAATTTTTGTGGCAAATCAGCAAAATATTCATCTATCCGCAGTGTTTATTTGACCGTTGTTTTGTGCTTAATTTTTATGCTTAATAAAACAAATGTGTTCAGCCTCTGACTCCTCTGAACTGCGAATGATATCAGGTAGGGAATAATTTTAAAAATAATACTATATACATCAAGCCTAGCTTTGTTCAAGGTACACGGTTTTCCCTACTACGCCTACCATGATGTTGGTTTCTCTCTGTAATCCTCATTCGGACCGGAGCCGCAATGCGCGCCTCTGATTGGCTCCCGCCCGACACACCTCCTTATTAGCTGAAAAATGTCCACATGGCGTGGTTTGAATGAGATTCAAAAATCCCGCAACCAATTCCAGGAAAGTATAACCCCCTTTAAAGTAAGGATACCGAAAATTTATATTGCATTAAAAAAAAAACTGAAAGCAAAGATCATAAAAAGTACTGTCTTGTTAAAATGTCTCAATGGCATGGTGAGCAGCTCCAGCCTTTGCGGTACATTCAGCAAAGTGTTCCAAACTAAACTCTTTAGTCACTGCTGTGAGATTTTCAATAAGCAACCCCTTGCTATTCGCACCGAGTCCGAGTCAAAGGGAAAACATAACCAAGAAAGTAGCCCGTATTCATTCATTTTTAGTTTTACTTTTGACTTTCATTTTTCATTTTGAATCATACTCTCACTGGCCACTTTATTAGGTACACCTGTTCCACTCGTTGTTGAAGCAAATATCTTATTAGCCAATCATATGTCAGCAGCATGATGTATATGGCCAGTGGGTGTATATTTTTTTATTAATTGGCTGTACTCATACAAGTTAGGGAAAACTGCAGAGCTGCCAGCCGAATAACGATTAAGTATCAGATTTTAATATTGTAACGTCTGTATAGTCCATGTGAGATAGTCCGATGCTGAAATATGAGTATAAGTGAGGCGGAGTGGCCATAGAGAGCAGTGGGACAAGTATGCAAACTGAAAAGAGCGGAGAAAGCTGGTGCCAAGGAAAAAAGGATAAAGTGAAAAAATGCGCTGGAGAGAATGCAGCAATACGTATGAACAGTTTGGCTTCATTTAGACAAGTTGTAGTTCATTAACTTTACAACACTGCCTTGGGTCATGACTTCAGTAGCATAAGGTGAGAGCTGAGAGCAGGGTGGCATGGCGGTGCAGTGGTTAGTGCTGTTGCCTTACACCTCTGGGACTGGGGTTCGAGTCTCCACCTGGGTTCCATGTGTGTGGAGTTTGCATGTTCTCCCCATGTGGTCGTGGGTGCTGTGGTTTCGGCACACAGTCCAAAGACACCCCCAACAAAAACCTGATTGGAGTAACTAAATTGCCCATAGGTGTGAGTGCATGGTGTGTGAGTGCCCCCCTGTGATGGGCTACCCCCCATCCTGGGTTGTTCCCCACCTCGTGCCTATAGCTTCTGGACTCCCCATGACCCAAAAGGATAAGCAGTTTGGAAAATGGATGGTGAGAGTAAAATCAGCAGCATCAACAGGCCCTGCAGTAAGTCATTCAGACTGGAACACACTGGCTTTCCAACATTGATTAGTGGCACAAGCACCTTGTTACAAAGCTGACATTGATTCATAATCATGTCTACAGAGAAAGACCAGCAGAGACCAGTGACTTGCTAAGGAGCAGCTGGTTAGTCCTGTATTTGACTTAGGCAGCTGCCTAGGGCAGCAGATGTTGAGGGGGCACAACTTGCCAGCCAATTTCACTTCACTTCAGATGTGGGGGGGGCACCAGTGGTGATGCTCCCCTGGGGAGCCACATGTGACAGGATCGCTACAGCTAAGGAGGCTACTCATGTTTTAAGTAGCTATAATATTCTTAAGCTTTCAGATCAAGCACAACACCACTATGGATGATCATTTTCAGTTGGCTTAGAATTTGTTTAGGCCTAATTGCACATGGATACTCTTGATTAAAGTGTCTGTTACAGTTTGCTGCCAATAATAATCTTTCATCTGCTTTTGTATTTTGTCATTTTCTGAAACGATATTAGCTTTTTTAGGAGTGACCTTTCTTGTGCCTGAATTGGTCAACGTTGTGAAGTCCTTTCAGGCACCCTGAGGAGGTAGAGTATAAAACCTGACATGGAGTTAGGGGAACTAGACCACATTTCCCCCATTCAGATTAGGATTTGCTGTTTTTGATATTTCATCAATCATTTCTGTCATCTGAATAAATTTCAACCTTAATATTCATAAAAGTTGTCTTTACTGTAGTTGTGAAATATACCACCTAAAAGTGATCATTTTGATGATTATTACTAAACTTTGTACCAGTTACTTAAATGGTTGAAAATTGCAGTAGATCCCCAACGATAATTCAGACTCGAGGTTGTTAGATTTTTGGGACACGATGCCAGAGAGTGAACAATTCTGCCCCCTGGTGACACAACTACACCACTGAACAGCACTCCTGAATATTTAATTTTCAAAGCCAAAGTCGGCGCTGGCAGGTCTACATATTAACTCATTCTGCACATATCTTGGCTCTTCTCTGTCAGTTTTACGGCATTCTTGCTCATGATTGTAAACACATTGATCGACACTGGCACAGATCATATTCATTTTCTAATCTGAAGATTATCATTCAATACACAAACTAAGGGAAAAAAATTCATGCTAGTTCAGGTAGATTGTGCATGGATGGTGGTTCTTGTTTCCTCGACACGATGCTTTAAAATGTCACAAAAGCTTAGACCTACTGCAGCTTTGTGGTCAGTAATCAGTTGCTTTGTAGCACCGCTAGGTGAGTTCAATTGGTGTTTATTATAAATGGACACATGACTCATCGTGATCCCAGTGCTTATTAACCAATTTATAATACAAATAGTACATCACATAAGACAGGATTTAAACGAAGACATTTATTGACAAATAGGTCACAGTATAAGTGAGACATTGATGAAACTGATGCCGTCACACAACATATCAGTGCAAAACCCTACACTGCATCTAACCTGGAACTTATCCCCAATCCTAACAAATCAAAACCCCAACACAGAAACTGCAACTAGAGAACTTCTGTTCTGTGGTAACCTTTAGATTACCCGAATCATATTTTATTACTTTATTACCATATTCAAGATTTTTATAGAAAAATAACCCTTTTCTCCCTCGTCATTACACTGCAGAGATCAGACAGTTACAGTAACCATGAAGGTTAAGTACATGGACTTCGCTTGCAGCACCCAGCTAAGATGACCAGCTCTAAACCCGATGACGACCTTCAGCAGCTTATGACAACGTTTGACAGTTCAGCTTGCCGACACTCTTAACGCAACCAAGTTCTGCAAAACTGGCTTCTCAACCTTGGAAACTGCTTCGTGGTGGTGAGTGATTAAAACTGACCGGCAGTCACTCTTTCCACTACTTCTCTATTCAAAAACCTTCACGCAATCTATTTTTCTTGAACGTTCACGAATGAAGTAATGCATTTTACTTTCATCCCATACGCGGATAAGTCCGGAAAGGTTCAGATGATAATCTGATGGAATCACCAACGTGTTCTGGCCACTTCTCCTGTAGGAAACACACACACACACAAAGTTCAGTAGCTACCAACATTTTGCGGGTTACAGCATAAACAGGAACATCTACTCCACCACCCCTTTATTAATGAATCATGCCCCAGCGGAGGAGGTTACCCGTGAGCCCGGCTGCCAGGCCAGTCACCCCCTGTCGGCGAAGGGTGCGGGGGGGGGCAGGATGATCAGGTCCATCAGTTGGAATTCCCCTTCTGGCTCGCTGCTTCGGCGAGTCGAAAATGCAGCCGCCCTGAAAGCAAAAAACAGCGAAGGGATGATGGGAACAGGCCGAATGGAAAAGCAGGAGCGGCCAAGCGAGCGGAGGGGGGTGCGTGGAAACCATGAGGGCGCGTTTGATACTTACAGACTTGTGTGCTCCTCTGCTGAACACAGACCTACACACAGAGAGCAATAGGGGAACAAATGAAAAAACAGCAAATAAACGTCTCAAAGTCTCACTGCAGTCACTTATCATAAGACCCTCTCATATTCCAACATGGCTTGTAACATAGACCAGGGGGTGGGGAACCTGTTCCACTGTTCCACCAGTGTGGGTGCAGGTGTTTGGTATGGCCTCTCAATCAGCCAATACCTGCAGTCCTGGGGACCTACTGTTGAGTGCCACTGTTTTATTATTGGCTGAGGAGGTCATGCCAAAAACCTGCACCGGTTCTCCATGGAACAGGTTCCCCAGCCCGGTTGAAGACAGAGAGCAGAATGACATCATAAGGGCCAAATTCCTTAACAGTGGTGATTGCTAGTCTATAGAAAGCCTTTCTAACATAAGCGAGACCTAAATGTGAAGCCGGCGATGTTCACTCACTTGGTTGAACTTCAGTTCTTCACAAAATACATGGAGAGAAGGATGAGAAAAGAAGTCAGTGACTATTTCTGGCAGGCATAAAAAAAATATTTAAAGGAGCACTCTGAAATAAGTTACCCTGCAGGAGTCTGTCCTGCGTTTTCCTCAGCGATACTCTCGTTTTCCTGCTGCTGCTGCTGGAAGAAAGTAGCAAGTTTCTGGAGGGCTTCGTACCTCGTCCTGCAGACAGGAGTAGAGAGAAGAAGGTGAGCCTGGAAACCTGCAGCGAACGGTCACCGGCAGCCTGAAGATTGTCAAACTATGCAACCAGAAGGTCAAGTGACTCCAACGATTCCTCTTCCCAAAAAACACAGTGATCTTCCTCACAGGAAGTGAGGTCAGTGGAAGACAGTGTCAGCTCCTCGCAGATGGAGCCGTACACGTTGACTTACAGGGCCTGGCTGTCCTCGTAACCATCGTTGCTGGCGGCCGGCTGGCCTTTGCCGTTCGCATAGCCTGTCAGACAGAACCAGGAGGCCAGGTGAGCCTCCAACCCGAACCCTTGCAGCAATGCTACCATCTTCTGCAGATTAAGCACTGAATACGAAACCTAAAGCCACAAATCTTTTTGGAGATACTTACACATTTCAGCCATGGAAACATTTTGACTCTGCAACCTATAATGAATCAGAACGACATTTTACAACAGAAAAAGTACAAATCAAACATGACAGCTGCAATGGACAGGGAAACAAGCTTTACGATTCAGGTTTGTCATCAGATCATCTTCTATTGGATGAAACCTTACAGAATCATCTCTATACAAATGCCCCAACCCAATAAAAAGTCACATGACAATGTTTGGGAGAGATAGTGGTTTGTTTCCCCATGTCTGGATGAGTAGTGAAACACCACATGGTTTCTCCTCGTACCGCACATCGGAAGGAGACAAGATCGATTCCTCGTCACACGTCCATTCCTCACTGTCTGTAACTGAGAAACAGAGTTCCTTAGTTCCACAAAAAAATACTCCAGCCAAGCAGTTGCTAACTCCCTATGCAGATTAAGGGATATAGCTACAGTTGTTCCCCCGCAGCCACAAGTTCAACCAACCGTGGATTAAAAATACTGGGGAGGAAAAGTAATCCAGAAAGTTCCAAAAAGCAAATCTTGGAATTTGCCACAGGCTGAGCACCACGCTGAAAGTGTAATTTGGGTCATAATTTTCAGTAACGTGGTCTCATCCACTCATTTTCAGTAACGTGGTCTCATCAATGTTCAGGTTTGCCCTGAGTCAGCCAGAGATACGATCTCATTCACCCACACTGCTTTATTGTGCTGATACCGAACGATGTGGGTTAAAATTCAGAATATGATTAAGTCTTTAGAGTGAAGGTAGAAAAACCATTTTACAAAATCATTTTACATTTCATTTATTCGGACACAACATTTTCCATTATTTGCGTTATACAGTGGTACCTCGGTTCTCAAACTCACTAGAACTCGAATTTCTTGAAAGTCAAACAAACCAGTTTGACCTAGAACTCAATCTGAATATCAGAAGTCGAACCGTGAACGCTGACCTAATATAAATTGTATGCGCCAGGAAATGAGTCATACTACAATGCAATTCTTACTTGAATGCCTTCTTCACAGACGGGACTAAATTAACTAAGATTAACTAAATAAAGCAGCGCAACATTACAGTAACTAACAATAAATAAACCACTAACTTACGTGTACTATTAGAGCATTTATGTCATTTATTTAAACTTTATTTTACCAGGTAAATTAACTGAAAACCAGTTCTCACTGCTTTACGTGATATTCGGGAGAAATAGCAGATTACGCATCGGAACTGCCTGGGATACAAACATCATGCGTGTAACTAAACTCTTTAGCCAATAAGGGCAAAGGTGTGTCGTCACGGAGGCGGTTCCAGTTTGTGCAGCCGGGTGAGAGGTCGCAATGCATCTAACCGTAATGCATTGCGTCAGGATCAGAATGCGTTGCTTTAAGCCAGCGCTGTAAGCAAGTCGAACGCACACAATGACCAGACTGGGGAAACAAACTGAAACGCGGACTTAATACAGAGGACTAATGACAACAACCAGAAACAGCTGATCACATGGGGATCCCACACGAGGTTAACGAGGGGGCGTGGCACACGGAAGGAGCGGACGACCGGGGCAGGACTGGGGTAATGTTGGGATAAGATCTTTATCGTTTTGGAAGCCATTAAGATAAAAATGCTCTTCTTGTCTTATCCTGTTCATCTTGTGTTTAAATGCTTAAAAAATAAATAAATAATAATTTAGGTGTAATTTTGGGGGGCCGGGAACCAATTAATTGTTTTTCCATTATTTCTTATGGGAAAAATTCGATCAGAACTCAAACTTTTTAGGATTCGATCCTGAGTCCGGAACGGATTAAGTTCGAGAACCGAGGTACCACTGTATTAGGTATTACAAGTCATGTAGAGATGATGTAAAGTTTATGGGAAGATGTACAGGGTTATACGCAAATACTACCTTTTTCTATAAGGGGCTTGAGCGTGAATACAGAGGGCAGATAGCACAAAAAAAAAAAACCATACAAGCATACTTACAGCTGCTACTGTGAGCAGGACATTGGTTAGAAGACCTGGAAAATAAAGGACAGGCAGTGGGAAAGTGACACCTGCTTCACTTTATCTCTGCTGCGGAAAACCTATAAATCAACTGACAGAACTACAGAATTATCAGCCAAGAAAAGACAAGCTGGTTTTGGTTCAAAATCATGTGGACATTTTTGGGTTTTAGAATGTAATTCAGCTGCTGTAGGGGATGGAAAATTCCTGCCAAAGGACTGTTTAATTCTTTATAGTTTGTGTGTGGGGGGGGGGGCATTATTCTGCCTTTAAAAGCCCCAGCTAACCTGCTTAACTACTCAGTATAAATATCATGAAATTGCCATAATGAATATTTGCTGCATGAGGCCAATATTTTACTTCGAGGCAAGAAGTGGGAACCTTAAGTCGGCCCTTGCAGTCAGAGGCATATACAGAATGTCCATTAGCTTCTATGCTGATGGAATTTAACAGTAATACAACACTTTTCAATAAAGCACATCCCACTGATACAGCAACCTCTGGCAAACCCATGTGACTGTTGAGGAGACCATCTCCGTTCTGCAGATCTGAACAACCTGCAGTAGCTTCACTCCAAACCTTTGTGTGACCACAAGGCTGACACTTAAGAGATGCCAACTTGATCCTGAATTTCACAGAAGTGGTTGGAGGCAGAATATTAGCTAATTATCCCTCTGAATTTTTGCTGGCCGTGGTTTTGAAGAATGGAGTTCCTCTGCTCGTAATTAATACCATCAGCCAAGAAAACACTATTTTTTCTTAATCAATTTGGGGAACTTCCACTTTTTATATAACCAGTGACCAGCTTGCATACATGTTTAGATTCCAGATTCTTCCTGAACTTGCATGGTTTTTGATCAAGAGGTTACTGAGCCCAAACATAAAAGGGGAGGTTTAAGACTAGTGCCTCATTCAGGCACTTATATCATTGAATTCATAACTGCAAAATATCAGGGAAGCAGACTGGTCATGCTTAAGGCTTAGCTTAAAGTAGCATTGGTAGCTATAGTCATTCACTGCATTGTCGTCACCATGCTTGAACAGTCTTATAGTAGACCCTGCTTCTGAAGTACGAAATGCACAGTTACTTTATCATTAATTCCTCATTACTACCTGCTCCCGTCGCTGAAGGTGTCCCCATCGACGGCGGGGCGCCCCGCTGCCTGGGAAGCCCTCTTTCCAAGCTCCAGCATCTCCTTGATGTCCAGCTCCACGTTCATCACAGGGATGTAGCCATCTGCGGACATGCCGAGAACCTTGGTTGCAAACTATCCAGGCTCTGCGATTCGTAACTGACGGAACGGCGGCCAGGGAACTGAGCACATCAACTGAACAAACCTCACCATTCCAGGGTCAACCTCTCATAGCTGTTAGTCAATAAGATCATCAATCCTTCAAAAAAACAGACTTCTGCATTTAACTATTCTGTAACTATCCAGCTTAGAACGATTCACATTTTCATAGCAGCTGATGACCAGAAAGGGTTAGGGTTAGGGTTAGACCCAAGTTAGTTCAACTGGCACCATGAGACCTTCCATTTCAGATCACTGGGATGAACACGGTCTCTCACACTTATGGTCATCGTCCCTCGCCAGCCACTTCCCTTTGGGACAGTCAGTGGTGCGGATGATGCTGACGACGTCTCCGGTCTGTACGGGAAGGTCACCCTTTCGGCCCTTGCTGGCGACTGTCACCGTGGCCTTGTACATGGGCTCCTCCTGCCCAGTTATCTTAGAGGGACACAGGATAAAGCAGCCAGCGATTACTGTGGAAATCTCAGCAATTAATCAGAATCTTTGCCACAAGACAAAGGCTGGTGGAAACGTGTTGGCACAACATGCTATAGCTGGAGAGACTATGACAAAAGACAACAATCAACATAACGTAGACTGAGAATAGAGGCGTAAAAGCAAGTGATAAATACCGAGGACGGCGCAATGCTGGTAGCTGTTACAGGCAGAATACAGACAATATACCCATGCATACAGAGCATAACACAAAATACGTGGAATGTGCAATTATAATGCGGCAATAGATCGTCAAGTGCAGGTGCTATTGAGAAAGCAAACATTGAAATCCTGCAAACGTTGCACGGTTATTGATTAAAAAGCAGGAGGAACTGCTGAGGAGTCTGACGGTGCTCGGAAAGAAGCTGTTCTTGAAGCGTTTTGTGGTGGTTAGTGATCAGAGTCTTCAACCTGAGCTGAAACGGATCATGTGCAGGATGATGCAAAAATGTTTGCCTCATGAATCCTTTGAGGTTCCTAATGCAGACGCCACCCCCATCTCCACCACCCCCCTCACAAAACATCTAGCAGACCCTTGAGGTGAATGTTTACGTCTCCGCAGCTCCTACTTTGAACTTCCTTCTCATCTCGTTCTCCTTCTTCTCCCTCTCCCGCCGCTCCTTTTTCTCTCGTTTCTTCTGCTCTCTGTCCTCATTGCTCTCTCGATTCTCCTTGCGCCCGTTGCTGCTGGAGACAGAAGCAGCCAGAACTGGGATGGCATTGAAAAACCTCCAACTATTTAAAGCCAAGAGAACAATAGATTCATAAACAGGCAGATGTGGCGTCAACTTCTTTACAGTAAAGTGTCTAATTGTGGAAATGTGTTCAGTTAAATGAACACGCAGACATTAAATCATGTAAATAAGATTACAAATATACCAATTTCCATGTGAGAAAGTTCCAGGAAGCTCTCCTGACACAAGCCTAGAAAGACTTTTCATGCCATTACATTTTTCAAGATGCCAATGCAGACTTCATGTTGATCATTGACAGTGATGCTCACTGAAGAAATATGTCTATTTGTCAATAGGAGCTTTCCCCATTAAAAATGAATTTGTACAAACCTACCATGGGTTGTGAAACCATGCGCTCTTACGCGAATCTTCACCCTGTTGACCATACAAACATGAATTCAGAACATCTCCAACCAAAAAAAGTTATTGCATATTAAACATTCCAAAAGCAATATTTTTTTTCAGTCACCAAATAAATCTTTTGCTATTTTTCCATGGGACAACTGCAACTTTTCAAATGCCACCTTTAGCCAGTCTCATTAACACCCACACAAACTTACCATCAAGTCAGTATCAGCGTACGGATCTAGAGAGGACCAAAATAAAACAAAAAATGTCAAATACAGATCTCTCATCCTACTTTACCGTGCAGGAGTAATAGCGACATCCAACACAGAACTCTTACTTTTTGGAATGACTTTACGTCGCCATGTATTCTGCCCGCGGCGAAGCTTGTTTGTGATCTCAACATCTTCATAGACGTCTGCATTTTCACTGTGTCTTTCAGAGCCAAGACTATTAAAAGTAAAATTCCACAATTACACAAGGGAGAGGCAATAGTACCTGTGCTTTGTCACAAGAAAAATGCAACTGAATGAGTATACACTTGTCAAAGTTGAGTCATTGGGATTGATGAGTTATATGACGCCACTTCACCCAGCTAATGGCTTTCCGTCTTTGTGTTGACGTTCTGTGATACAAGCAAAATTCTGAGCTGGAGGAGCCTGGTCTGGAGGGTCCAAAGCAGGTGTAGATTCCTTGGTCCACAACCCCAGCGCCTCTAGAACTGCTGACTTTGGCTCTCTAGGTTCAAGGTCTGTGGCATGAAGGCTCTGGTCCCCAGAACCAATGGACTGGGACTCTAGGGCATTAAAAGCCACATTGAAAATTCCTGAAAGTTCTGGACACACCAGATCTTGAGGCTTCGGGGGCACTGGATATTCAGGAGCTTGGCCTTCAAAATCAATAGATTCAAGCACCCCAAAAAAGCCTGAAACAAACAAATGCACAAGAGAACACACGTTTCACTGCAACAGGAAAACTGTACATCCAATTCAGTTCAAATGGCCTTAGAATGCTTAAGTCTTAAATGATCAAGTTAATGTTTTTAGAGAGAATTTTTTATTATTTTTTTTAAATCAGCCAAGGAATTAGTTACCAATTTCATGTTGATCCTTTCCAAATAAGGCCCAGCAGTGGCTGAGATCCACTAAATGGGGTCTGGGTGGTTTTTCCGGCGGGGGACCCAGGGACTGTAACCCGGGAAGAGGTATCTTAGCTGGACCAGTCTCAGCGCGATGCCCCAGTCGCAAACAGTTTGTCTTCCAATCTGCACCGTTCTTGCGTATGTGCGGCATCTTCCCTGGAGGAGAACCCATCACAACACATGGCACCAAGCACTAAACTCGTGATTAAAAAGGATTTTTTTTAAATGCCGGAATATAAGCTTTTGCTTCACACAGGTTGTTACATTCTTGCGAATACTTAGTCCATTACTGTCCGATTACATAGCTGGGAAGACCAGGTACTTTCATTGCTTGCCTAAGAAAATTTAGCAAAATTTAAACAATAAGAAAATTCTGGAATGTACTTACAGTGTGAGGCTATATTGAGCTTGGCAGCTAAGGCAGAGACACTGGTGGCCTGAGAAATACTTTTGGGTTTTTGAGGAGGAGCTTCTGCCTTCGGGTTCTCGCAGCCCATGGGAGAGAGTTTGGGAGATACCTTCAAGGGGAGCCATGGAGGGCTGCTGGCTTCCGGGGATCCCACATTAACACCCTGAGCACTTTCTTCGCTGGAGAGGGTAGAGTGTCTAACCGAAGTGTCTTCGAAAGCGCTACAAACACTAGGTGCAGATGTGCTCCGGGAATAGAGGCAGCCTCTGCCTCTGGGAGATGGAGAACCGGATGTCATTTCTGGACTGTTACTGGGAGACTTTGATCGAGAGCTGGTATCGAGGGAGATCCCACTGGTTTTTGGAGATGTCGACTTAACGTCATTTTCTGCGGACATCACCATCTCAGGTTGGCCAGGCGGCAGGCAGCTGCTCGAAGGCAGACCCAAGGTGACCTTCTGCTCTTTTCCTGGTACAGGAAGCCCAAGAGACAATCGCTTGTCCTTTGATGTTTGCCTTGTGCTCTGTTCCTTTTCTGCCGTCTTGCCGCTGAAGAGGGAAGGCGTACAGGGCGGCAGGGGCAGTGGGTAGGAGACTGGTCGCTTGCCGTGTTTCTTTGCTCTAGGCAGGACTGACGAGTTGCTCTCAATCTCCACAGCGATGGTGCTCAGGTGAGACGGACAAGCTCCGGGTGGTAGTGGAACCTGTCTGGGCTTTTCAGGGACCATCGGTTTTCTCCTGTACTGGTTCAAGGTGATCTCTTCTTGAAACTTGGCTCTGATAGCTTTGAAGTCAGTAATGTTCTCCTATAAAAGATTGAGAAAATAAAAGGCTTGTTTTCATATAGGCAGGACCATAGCCAGCTATGAGGTCACTGAGGTCCGGACCTCTGCAATATTTTGAGAACTAAAATTTGAAGCTAAATATTCACCTGAATAAAAATCAGGCTAATTAACGTTTTAAAGCTAACTAATTATTTAAAAAAAATAAAAACCGCACATGAAGAGGTTGGTATCAATAATATGATTGACGATCGAGGCCCACACTCAGGTCCCGGATCTCAATATTATTCAAACCTTGTCTACAGACCTGCATATAAACGCTGATGAGATTCACAGATACACGTAAAAAGTGTGAAGACTTTAGAAGTATATTAGAACTTTAAGAAAAACGTCGTTTTGGTCTTTGTATGATATGAAAAATCCAAACACCATTCAAGTACATCAGCAGCCATCGATAATCGCACGGTTTCTGCGCATTGTTATTGGCTTAACAATCACTTAGGCAAACTTAAAAATGACAAAGCAGGGCGTTTATAAGATTAAATGTCATTAAAACTGACAAGCGGAACCAGTGGAAAGCAATATTTAAAAGTAGCAAACTGTGAAAGAAATCTTCGACCAACTAAATATTTTTACGAACTGGAAAGAATCTAAGAAACAAAAGGGACTTACCTGTTCCATTCTCTTCATTATCGAAAATAACCGCTACACTTACACACTTAATGACGGTTCTGTTTAATTTTTGTTTTAAATGGGTTGCATGCGGGATTAAACATGGCGTTATCCCCAAAACTCCCTTCAGTACATTAGAGACAAATGAGGAGGAAGTGGGGCAGGTGTGAGTCCCTACGGAAATCACCAGTCCCGTGGAGCGCTTATAACCAGCAGGCGCTGTGACCGTCTTATGCGCTCAAACCAGGCTGAATTTTAACAAACTGCGGTGGGACCGGCGTTGATGTTTGTCTATTCAGCCGAATTAGTGCTTTCGCAAAGCGCGCAGCTTGTCTCTAACCTCCAGCAGGGTCACCGGTGTCAGCGCCAGAGCCAATCTGACAGGCGGGCCCAAGACTTTCACGCCCTCCGGTAAAAGTTATCGATCGGGGGTGGGGGTGTCAGCAGGCAATCCATAGCCACACCCCTGGGAGACACCGGGTTGATTCGATGTCAAAAATAATATTAGAATAAAATAAAAAAGAGATGTCCTTGGTGGGTGGCGTTTGCAGGGAGGGGGGGAAGTGTAGCTCGCGAATGACTTGTTACTGCACAGGAAGAAAAAAAAATCCGATCCTCATAATGAAAATCAGTTATATGGGCGAATGAACCTTAATAAGGAAAATAAATCCTCAAGCCGGCGGTCATGTTAAATTAGAATCGGGGGGTCCATTTCACACTGTCGTATTTTATGGGACAAAAATTCTTTACATGATATTTGTTAAAAAAGACAAGAACATTTTTCAGCTGTCTACAATTTGCTTGCTTGACTTGATTTAATTTAATTTTCACAGCCCTTTATCCTGACAGAAAGCATATTAGTCTGTTTTGTGTATAAATTATCTGTTGCACGGGCAGGAAGGTTTATATCCGCGCTATGATCATTTCCAGCATTCAACAAACATTGTAACAACAAACAAACTAATTTACAAAGACACATCACCCTGCCTGTCAACAAACATAATTTAGCAATCTTTAGCTCTGGACTATAGGCCTACTTCTATCTGTCTTTAACTGTTAATCCTGGGTAGGGTTACAGGGCACATACACACCCATACATTACAGGCAATTTGGAGATGCCTGTTAGACTAACTGCGTGTCTTCGGATTACCCACGGGACCCGGGGAGAACATGCAAGCTCTCCATACATACTGAGCGGGGGTGAAATTCGCCCAAAATTATTTAAGAATGACCCGTCTGTTAATAATCCAGCCCCTTATCCAGTGCAAGGCACTAGGGACGTAAGAATATTAATCATATTCATTCAGTTCATAGATCACCGTAATAGTTTGCCGCTATTATATAATTTTAAAGTAAACATTGTCGTCATTCTGAGCTTGTGACTGAGGAGAAATTTGATTGTATTACGAAAAAATGACGGTCAGCCCTCTCGTGGACAGTTTACTTTGATTTAATCATTTACATGACTTGTGGCCTATTGACTGTAGCTTGTGCTTATGCACAGTAAACTTCCAGGATGATCGCACTGAATTACTCTTTGCTGGGAGTTTACCTCTCAGCGCTCTTTGTGAACGATTTCATGATATTTGCGGTGATCACGACTGGAAGCAGGTACTAACTTTTTACATGTCTTAAGGTTTATTGTTTAAAATTGTTTAGGTAGATGTGTATATCTGTATTTGTGTTCCACGTGTCCGTTTTTTCTTCTGGAAGTGCTGAAAAGGTCACCTCGCGGCTGACCCGGGCTACCGATACTCCGGCTGCAATTGACTGTAAGATAAAGCCGTGGTCGCAGTGGACGCCTTGCTCGTCATGTAGCAACATTACGGTACTAAACCTTACCTGTATTATCGAATGTAAAATATCTGTTATCATAGAAATTGCCATAAATATCTGATTACTTGCGAGCCTTTAAAATAGTTCTCGGGGAACATGGTCGTCAAGGCCGTAGATCAACAATCCTCTTAGGCCTATTTACAATAATTGTTGATTCAGCAAAAAATGCTACACCCAAATATTAAAGTGTTGCATTGTTTGGCTGTTAACAGGTCAAGAGTTAGGCCTTGTACACACGTACCTGGGTATTATTATTTTTAAAATCTTCGTCCACATGAAAACGCTAAAACGCCCTGTCAAGAGCATGCCAAACCAACAGGTGGCGATATAACTCTAACCGTAAAGCCATGTTGGTCAATCAGAAGCCTGTTCTGCCAGAGTAAATGCATGGGGTAAAATATGTAACTGCACGCTCTGACGTCAAACAAAATGAACAACTGTGCATAATCTGACGTTACAAGCCTAAAACTGCGTTATCCCTGTCTACACTGAAAACAAAGTTTTTGAAAAGCTTTTCCCTGGACGGGGTTTTACAAAAGCTCTGTTTTCAGTGTCGTAAAACACCGTTTGCATGTGGAAATGCCAAAGCGCACAGAAGCTACGTTTTCAAAAATACTCCGTGTATGGGTGGACAAGGCCTTAGTGTTAACTGTTGCACACTGGGATGGAGAGTTAGGGCAAGATGTTCAAACCTCTTTATAGTCTCGCTTCAGGTATCTGGAGCAAGCGTCACAGTTCCAGGGGACCAAGTGCCTCGGCAGCCAGTGGGATCAAAGAGCCTGTTCCACAAATGTGCCGTGCAAGCCCAAGTCCGCCTGTGGCGACGGCTTTACATGTGAATTAGGTAGTTCAAGTGCATGTTTTTGGACTGTGGGGGAAACCTGAGTACCCGGAGGAAACCCTGTGACATCATACACGCTCAGTATGTGTGGAGTACGCCTGGTCTCCCTGTGTGGGACCAGCAGTGTGTGAAATACGGGGGGGGGTCCGACACCCTCGATTAACTCATGAGACCCCCTGAAAGCCTCAAAAGCAAAATTTTAAGGTAGTCTCAAGATCGGTATTGCGCAACAATAGGGATATGGGGACCCCCCCCCCACAAATATTAATGGGTATTTCACACACTGGGGATCAGGGTACGTCTTGTACTGTGGTTTCATTTTGCAGCCCAAAAGCTTAGTCTAACCAAATTGGTATTATCTTAATCAGCGTTTCCCAATCTGGTCCTCAGGGACCTGCAGACGGGAGCTGGGAGCAAAAACGTGGACCGTCTGTGGGTCCCCAAGGACCGGGTTGGGAAACACTGGTCTAAATCACCTGTATTGTGTGAGGGTGTCTGGGTGTCTTACCTGGTCCCCTGTCCCTCCTGGATGGGCTTCACTCTTGCTGTGACTCTGTAGTGCATGATAAGCGGTTACAGAAGATACCTGGATGGATGTCTGACTGGTGTGCTTCTGTGAAGTTATCACCATCTGTGAAGCCTGCGCCCACAAGTCCTGCGTGCTCTGTGACTGAGAAGGACTTCAGAAAGACTGCTTGTGCCCTCAGGACGGTGTCTGAAGAAGGAGCTACGCTGTAATGGGGAGAATGACTGCATGCTTGGCTCGGATGAGGACGGCTGTGACGCAGAGGACCTCACTGAGAACATGTGCACTGATCTGACCCCCATCCCGGGCTCTGAGGTCAGTGCCCGTGGGTAAGCACTCACAGCCCCCGCACAAGCCCCACACATCCTCATCTCACAGCCCCCCCACCCTCATCTCACAGCTGAAATCTTGGATGAAACAAGAACTTTCCGCCACTAAACCCACAACTATTCACAAATATTATTTAATGAAAGAATTAATTATTAGGGCATAGGAGAGAGTTTTGTATTAGGGAGGGGTCATGAAGCCAAATAAAATATTGGGGTGAGGGGGTGCATGTCTGCCTTGTTTCCTGTGCCATTGATCATTGTCATTACTATTAAGACATATTAGTCTACAGTGACAATAATTTAGTTAATTATAGTTTTTCATACAATTTTTCCATTCGTGACTTACAAGAAAAACAATAATCACTTTCTATTTCAGTTACAATGTTTTAACCGGCGACTTTGTCCAGAACGCGGTCGACCCGGAATATTACGGGGGACTCTGTGAGTACGTCTACAACGGAGAGTGGAGACGCCTGAAATACGACGTTTTCTGCGAAAACCTGTACTACAACGATGACGAGAAGTATTTCAGGAAACCGTATAATTTCCTCACCTATCGCTTCATGGTAATCCTTTGACTTGCCCATGAACTGAATTTGTAACGCCTTCATTTACAAATTATCTCCCACATTCCCTTTGTTTTATTTGTTGACAAATATGTAGCCTTTAATAATATGGTTTTGCATCTTAGTTACTGGAACAAATTATTCAGTCCAATGCAAGTAAAATAACATTGTATTGTAGAGTAATTTATCTTCAGCGCTAATCTGGAATTTCTTTTCACATGTATTTATAATACAATAGCAAAGAAATGAATATGCAAATTATTGTGTTCTGATGCATCTGTGAAAGACCACATATATGCATATTTTTTCATGCATATCCATATGTTCCCATATATCATGCATATGTTCTGTTTGTTTTTTTTTTTGTTGTTGCCATGGATATTGCCGTCCGTGCCCCATCCCCACAGGGTTATGCCGAATCCGGGGGGTCCAATGAGTTCTACGAGGACGCCGTTAGCTTGTTGAAGGCCAGGAGGGAGGGAGGGTCCTTCAATTTAGGATTTACTGTTGGAATTGATATGGTTGAAGTCGGCCTTTCTGGAAGCGAGCAGTCTGAGGCTTTGAAGAACATATCTGAGTACAAAGACACCGTAAGTTCATCCGGCCTTTGATTAGCCGCTGCATATTAATAAGCTTTCATCAATATCTTTAAATTGATATATAATTACGTGTGTATGTTTAAATTAGAATTTATGAAGCGTATTTATCCAAACTGCTGATGGAGGCCTGGATTTGGGGGGGGGGGGGATTGGAACCTTCATTGTGAATGTTATATATGAACAGGGGTGGATAGTTCAGGTCTGGAAAGTCAAAATCCAGACCAAGCAGTTGAGTAGCATGTGGCTCAGTGGGCGAAGGGGAGAAGGCTGCTGGTGTGAGCCTGGCCTTGGCAGAAGTCATGCCTGTGAGCCCTTGAGCAAGGCCCTTAACCCCCAGCTCCCTGGGCACCACTGCAGTTGGCTGCCCTTCGCTGCCTCTGTGTCACAGAGGACAAGATAGAGAAGGTAAAAAGAGAATTTCTCCATGGGGATTGTAATTATTTGTAGAGTCTCAGTCATAGTACTCAACTGGTTGGTTGAAACAAAATCTTGGTCTGGATTTTTACGATCTCCACCGGAACTATCCACTTTATATTACACTTTATGAAACACTTAATGAAATGTAGTTGTGTCCGATGACTTTTTACATACCATCTGTGATGTTAGTATGAGAGCCTCTCATTCTGCTAGAACCTGGGCTTCGTCAGGCTGGTATCCAGAGTGCAGACGGCCCACTTTAAGCTGCGGAGCCGCGATCTGATGCTAGATGAGGAGCTGCACCGCTCGCTCGCCGAGCTGCCGGACGAGTACGACTTCGGTGCATACGCTCACGTCTTCAGCATCCACGGAACGCACTACGTCACCTCGGGAGTCCTGGGGGGGGTCCTGGAATACATCTTAGTGGTGGACAAGAAGGTCATGGAAAGAAATGGTAACAGATTTCCGACAATTTATCCTAGTCCTGTCCTCGGGGACCCACAGACAATCAAGTTTTTACTACTGGGAGCTGGGAGGGAGCAAAAACTGACTGTGTCTCTGAGGACAGAATTGGGAAACACTGCTTTAAAGAGTGTGTTTGGGCAGGGCTGTTTTGGTGAGACTTGACTCCTGGTCTCCAGAGGTGGGTAGTTCAGGTCCAGAAAGTTAAAGTCCAGACCAAGATTTTGTTTGAACCAAGCAGTTGAGTATTTTGTGAGTCTGACTGTTTATACTGAACTGGTTTATTGAAACAAAAATTCTGGTCTGGATTTTTACTCAATGGACCTGAATTGCCCACCTCTGCTGGTCTCTCACACTAAATCAGTCCATTCGCCATTTATCCAACAAGGAATAATGTGCTAAATATGAAGATAACTTGTTAAATATTCCCCCAAACCTAGACGCATGTGAAAAGCATTTTTCCGCATATTTTTCTCCTGAACTTATTATGGCCAGTTATGTCTTGAGTATGTGCATAACATACATGTCAGCTAGACCCCTCAGCTGTGGTGCAGTGCCACACCTATCCCTCTGGGGGGTGCTATAACGCCCTGGCAGAAAAGTGTCAGTCTCTCCGTCTAATTCAATGCAGGTGATGTTCGAACCCGGGTCCGCTCACGCTGAAGCATTTTGCCCATTTGCAGGCTTATTTTTTAACTTGTTCCATCTCCAGAAATCACCGGGAAGATGGCTGGAGACTGCTTTGGGGCGTCGCTGGGTATATCCAAGATGGGAGCGGGATTATCATTCAGCGGGACTTGGTGTGACAAGGAACAGACGTCTGGTCAAGGTGCGGCTTGACGCTCAATCGCCTTCTCACTTTCTTTACCTTCTTTTGAAAGGAAAAACAAGAATGAATCATAACCAAACAAAAATGTCTAGTTACAAATTAATACATAAAAAACTGCAAGTAATATTTGACTTTAACGTGAGTAGACTGGACATTTGGATTTTATGGAATGTTTGGTTTCTGGAGATAAAATAGATAAATGGAGGTAACTTAGTTAAACACTGTAAAGATATTGATTACCAAATGTACTGTCAACCGATTTGAAAACATAATGAAATTCCTAATATTCAGCCATAGTCAGGATATCATTTAATATTGATATTTTTATGTAAGATTTGTGTCTAGTTGGGATCCGTGCTCCTGGTCATTTCCGTGTGTTGTGATCACTTTTCCGCCGTCCCTTTTTCTGCAGATAAGAAGTCGTCAGGCAGCTACATCAAAGACGTAGTGAATCTGGTCCGTGGGGGGAAGGTGCAGTCTGCGGGGGGGCTGCTGGCTGTCAGGAATGAGGAGACGTACACCAGGTGGGGGGCGTCTCTGAAGCACAATCCGCAGCTGATGGAGTTCGAGGTAACCCGCCCCTCAAACTGCGTTACGAAGTGAACCGGTGCGTAGGGGTGTTTGTGTAGCGCCTCCTGTTGACGTCCGCAGGTACTGCCCATCTATGAGCTGGTTCGCTCCAGCACGGCGGCCCAACAGTTCCAAGGAAAGGTGGCCCACCTGAAGCGGGCCTGGGAGGAGTACCTGCAGCAGTTCAACTCCTGCCGGTGCGCCCCCTGCAGGAACAATGGGCTACCTGTACTCCAGGGCACGGACTGCATGTGCCTGTGCAAGCAGGGCTACGAGGGCTTGGCCTGCGAGAAGACGCAGCGCACGGGTATGGCCCCGCCTCCTCACAGAGGGTATGGCCCCGCCTCCTCACAGAGGGTATGGCCCCGCCTCCTCACAGAGGGTATGGCCCCGCCTCCAGGCAGAGGGTATGGCCCCGCCTCCTCACAGAGGGTATGGCCCCGCCTCCAGGCAGAGGGTATGGCCCCGCCTCCTCACAGAGGGTATGAGGGGGATCAAAGCAGTAAGGCTATAGCCCAAGTTTGCCCAACACCGGTCCTGGGGGGCCAGTTTGCACCACAGCTTGCAGATTTCCCTGCTTTAACACATTGCCTCAACCTGGTAATTAGCTGATTGTTTTATGTATTTCAGCAAGGAAACCTGCAAACTTTGTTGGATTCTGGGCCTCCAGGACCAGAACTGGGCAACCCTGCTAAAGTCAAAATTTAAAAAAATGGGTTAAGGTCCCTTTAAATGCAAAATCAACAAAAGAAACCTTGGAAATTCGGAGACACACAAACCTAAAGCACCAAGTCCAGTCCTGTGTGTGCAATACCAACACATGACACTTTCCCAACTTGGCCCATCTTCCTGAGGTCCAGTCGGCGAGCCCCACTTAATCCTGGTAATTAGTCCAATTAGACCAAGCCTTCCTCCTCTGGCTCCCCTACTGGGCAGGCTGACCATAGCTCTGCATTCAGTAATCAGCAGAGGTCCAGAAAGTAAAAATCCAGACCGAGATTCAAATATCAACCAGCATAGACTTACAGTCACAGAGTACTTAACTGGTTGGACAAAACAAAATTTTGGATGGATTTTTACTTTCTGGACCTGAGATTTCCACCTCTGATAAATAGTTATGGAAGATGGATGGATGAATTGAAATGGATTGCTGATCGAGTCTTTAACATGAGCCATATCACTGCCTTTTAAGGTGGCGGTGAGAGACTTATGGAGATGTTTGAGGATTTCTGTGTTGGACAGGTCCCACTCATGGAGGCTGGAGCTGCTGGGGCACATGGTCAGGTTGTCAGTCTGGGACCCGGAGAAGAAGTCGTCAGTGCAACAACCCAGCTCCTCTCAACGAGGGAAGCCCCTGTTTGGGGACGCCCACACAGACCCAGGGCTGCTGAGGCGACTACATCCAGCCCAGCCCTTAAACCCTACCCCAGCTCTGGCATCAGATCGGTCACTACAGGCTGCATCTTAATTCCATATATGAACTAATACCATTCTGGTACTGCCTATGCTTCAGCCCTCCAAGGTTGTGTGTTCTATCCCAGCCCTGGTGCTGTTTCCTCCCTTTTGTTTTTACGTTTCCTCTGGCTACATCCACCTGAAGAATGTCCCATTGCTTTGTGACACAATTCCCAGAGTGGGCTCCTGACCCCTTTCAGCCTCCCGCCTTTTATTATGTTGGTTCTAACTTGCTTTGCCTGCTTTTTTCGGGTGTAAATCAGCCATGTGACTGGGGTATGGGACCCGTTTTATTGGTCTGTCAATGAAAATGCCAAATTAAACTCTGAAAAACAAATACTAGTGCATCCATAATTCATGTTAAACCTGTTTCCAGTAAATGTTTACCCTCGTGACAAAACTATTGTGTAAAGACTGTAATGTACTCAATACATTAACTAAATGAAAATATGACAATATTTTCATTTCGTTTTTATCATCCTATCTATTTTCATTTTGTTATGGTGCAAGGAATTATGGGTAGAAAATCTACAGTTAGAATGTGCTCCTGGTTCTCAGGGACCTCCAGACGGTCTACATTTTTGCTCCCTCCCTGACAGGGAGCTGGGAGGGAGCAAAAATGTGGTCTGTTTGGGGGTCCCTGAGGACCGGGTTGAGAAACACTGGTGTAAAGGATAAAATGATATCAAACATATAAATGATCCAAGATGGCTGGCTGTGGTATTGATATTTATTTGTTTGGAACCACCCCCCCCCCACTACCCTGACCAGGATAAGTGGATGGATGTTTGGCAAGTGGGGGGTCAAACACAGTCTGTTGTTTCTTCTTTAATCCCTGCACACGCCATGCCCCCATTCTGAGGGGGGGGGTGGTCACACTGGCGAGTCCTCTGCTTCTTCCGACCGCTGCAGGTCGACCAGGAGGACCAGCAGCTCCAGGTCCCGTCCACAGTGACCTCTGTGTTGGTGAAACGGCAGAGACTCCGTTATCAAAGGCTTGAAAGCCCACGGTGGGTGGAGCTAACTCAATGACACACCAATTAGCCAATAGGGAGCTAGTAAGAACAGTGAATGACAGACAGTGCACAGTCATCCAACCAATCGTGAGTTTCAGAGCCAAATCGCTGTCGTCTATGCTCACCTGTCCTTTGGGTTATCTCACAAGCTTTTCCACTGAAGCCCACTGGACAAACACAGTCACATCTGGTGCCTGTCCAAAACAGGAGGACTCAAATATTACAGTGTAAATCATTAGCTTTATTACGATACGATTTCATTTCGCAAGGCAGCAATTCGATATCTGCCAATATTTGAAACGTTAATGTGATACGATACGATTCGATCCAGTAAAATGTGCTCAATATTTTCAAAACAGTGAAACATAAGATGATTTTGGCAGAATTTATGTGAATTCAAAAAGATTTAAAATTCATGTTTAATTTTTAATTTTAACAATGGGATTTGTTGAAAAACAAATGTACACAAAAGTCCTTTAAAAAATAAAATATTTATTAAATGATTAAACCATATTGTGGCTGTAAGATTCGATATATTGATTGGAATCAATGAATGTTACATCCCTATCAGATTTTAATAGTCACTGTTAGATAAATTGCATGATACTGAGAGACAGCTACACCCCTTCCACAAAAGTGCAGGACGTGACACCTGAAGACAGGAATAAAATGAAAAACCCACCAACAAGACGACTTACTGATATGCTCCCTGATATGCTTAAATTTAAAGTGGTCCTATATCTATAACCCAGTACTGAAATAGATACAGATATTCGCCAGGTATGGGAATAATGGTGTGCTGTACCTTTAAGGACGGCCACCCCGTTGTGGAGGCAGGGGGCGCAGCGACAGGAGCTGACCTCGGCCAGATACTCCACCAAAGCCCGGTTCAGGTTCTTCTTCAGGGTGGGGGCGCTGACAAAATCCTTGGAGGTCACCAGTTCATGCAGGGGCTGCATCTGCACACCCCAAAGGCAACTTTGACAGGATTCACACAGCAGGAGACAACGGGAGACATCAAGTGTCCAGATTTAGAGGCAACACAGGAATGACTCGTGCTACCTTGGTCTGAATGAAGTCTGGGTTCAGGAACACGGACTCCCCCCAGTCCTGCATGATTTCCGGGGTCGGCAGCTGCTTGTAGACCAGCCTGGAAATAGTCTCAGTACTTCCCCCCCTTACCACAGCCACAAAGTCGTCCACGAGTTTGCCTTCTTTTTTGTCCTCTGAAAAACATGGGTGACAAAGACCAGACGGCCAAGGAAAGTACTGCTCACAAGGATCCCTACAAAAGTCCAAAACTAGCAAAAGGCCTTATGACAAAACAAAGAGAAACTGCTTCTTGGCTTCAAAATCATGGTCAGTTGCCTGTTGCAGTAAAGGCTGAGATGGACTGTAGGCCAGGGGTGGGCGATCTTATCCACAAAGGGTGTATGCAGGTTTCTGGGATAACCTTTAGGTCAGCTGTTCAAACCCAGGTGAGAGGACTCTTCAGGCAATCAGTCCTCTAGCTAGCAATCAAACCCGCATATTCAAAGGCCCTTTCTGGATGAGACTGGCCCCTGTTTTAGGCAATCACTCAGAAGGATTCATTTAAAACATGAATCGATGATTTGCCCATGAGTAACAGCCATGATTCATGAAGAATCAGCAACGCAAGCGAGTCTGAGGAGGACAGAGGGCTCTGGGGTCCAGTCAGCCAGGGAGCCCACGGTGAAAAAGGCTGTGATGTCACTGCAGAAGAGACGAGCCACAGAAGCCCAATGAGGAGAGTTCTTACCTCCGAGTTCGTTGAGCAGGCTTTTACACCTGCCCCCCTGCCCCCCTATGGACACGTACACGCCTTTGATTTTGGCACCCAACTTGGCTCCGGCTTGAACGCACTTCCTCGTGTCCTCCAATGTGTATCCTGGGAAAAGGATGGAGATATAAATGCAGGAGGTCACCAGAGAGGGGTGTTGCTGTTTCTGCATGTATCCAAGCTACAGCCACCAGCTAAAGGCAGTATTCCACAAGCCAGGATTTCCCAGTTAGCTGGATAACTTAAGCCAAAAGTGAAAATTGTCCAATAGGAAGAGAGATAAGTGACATTCCTATTGGACAAGTCTCACCATAGGCCTTACTGTTGGACCAATAGGTGAAGACTGCAGCATATCTGGTCACTCCTATAAAACAAGCATGGTCGGTGTAGTCAACCAGTTAAGGTTGCACTCATTTGTTCTGAGTGAGAACTTTCTTATTATTCTGAACATATTTCCAGTCATGAATACTCAATAGTTTCATGTTCTTTTCTTCTTTGCACATGAATGTAAGGTTCTGCGCAAACATGCCATTCTGCCTTGATAAGCTCAGAAGCATTTCATGATCATTCCACCCGACCATCTCACCCGACTTCTCCATGTTCTCCTTATTGAGCATGATGGAGTACTCATACTCGCCGCCGAGCGTGGCCTCCGTGATGTAATGCGTCCCGTAGTCTTCAAAGACCTGCCTGTACTCGCCATAGCTGTACTCGGAGGGCAGGGCCCTCAGCCGCTGGAGGAAGCCGGGGTGCAGGACCAGGTCCTGGGGCTTCAGAGCATAGCGAGCCACCTCCAGCTGGGAATGAGCCAGCAGGAAGTTGTGTTTCTGTGGAGGAAGGGGGGGAGCAGTGTGGAACAATGTCACCCTCTCAGCCTCTCGACAGCCCTACAGAATAGTGCTTCCTAATATGGTCCTTAGGGACCACAGCCCATTTTTTTGCTCCCTCCCAGGGACAAAATTTACCCAGTGTGACAAAATTACTGTGTAAAGACTCTAATGTACTCAGACAATATTTTCATTTAGTTTTTGTCATCGTATCTTTTTTCATTTTATGCTCCAAGGAATTATGGATAAAAATTCTACAGTTAGAATGTATAGCATAATAGTGTAAAGCAGTGTGTTTCAACACGGTCCTCAGAGACCACCAGATGGTCCACTTATTTTCTCCCTGTTTCTGCTCCCTCCGAGGTCTGGTAAGGATCTCGGAGGGACCAAAAACATAGATGAACTGTGGGTCTCCGAGGACCGCATTGGGAAACACTGTCATATAAGCTTAAGGCCTTGTGAAGGGTAACTGGATTACGGGGGATATCCTGCTTATATATGGCTAAGAAAAGTAGTGATGAGATAAGGTTTACATACAGTATCTCCGCATATTTTTGCTTGGCTCATCTGCCAGTGTTTCTGCACAATCTGCCATGATGAGATTTTTACCAAGTTACGCTATCAAGGTAAGAATCCCTGAGCCTGTCAGACTATGGCTCCTTGTCTCTTGCCCCGACACCAAGTGACCTAATCCATTCCACTGAGTGAAAAACACACCTGTACACAAGTGACCCACGGCACCGGTATCATCGCCTTGGTAACAGTCCAAAAAAAACCAAAGGCCTACTTTCAAGTCATTATCTTCACAAACGCCGGCTTTCGGAATCTCCCGGTGAAATTCCGTCTGCAGTTTCCCTTTGGGGCTGACCGACCTTTAGCCTCCCACTGAAACGCCAGCGCTGATACCAAGCAATTCCAATTCAGCCAGGTCACCCAAGGTTAGAGCTGGTTATTGCCAACTCGCCCGCGACACAATACTCATCGTGATACCAGCATACAGATTCAATGCACCGGTCAGACCTGCCTATTGTGTTTCCCTATGCTGTCTTAATTGACAATTGCCCTGGCCTGATTGCCCTGGTTTGATTGCCCTGGCTTGATTGCCCTGGTTTGATTGCCCTGGCGTGTTGTACCTTTATATTTAAGGGTTTAGGTCTTGGCGTGCCGGTCAAACATTAGTTGTTTCTGCTGCTGCTGGCAGCGTCAGTGGTTTTATTGCTACCGTTATTGTGTCCGTCTGCCCTTGCACCAGGTGCCCAGTCAGGCTCCCATTTTTACCCCTTTTATCTGCTCCACGCCGTCCACCAACCCGCAGCCGCCACATGCACTCGCACCTACACGCCTGTCTCCCTATACGCATGCCTGGAGGTCAGTGACATCATCACATTATTACCATTGTACTCTGATGGTTAAACACTCCAATGCTGAAGTAATTTAGGCCGAATTTATTAAACAGGAACAGGAAGAGTCTTTAACTACCAAGGATGAGATAGACTCTTGAATGCAGCTGAAGGATACTTCAACTCCCAGGTGTATAAACTATGAATTTCTTTGTGCATGTATAAAGTGCACATTTCTGTTTTTATAATGCAAATGGGAAAAAATATATTGAATGAAAAGACTTAACTTCTACTTCAACATTTCAGAGGTACGCACTTCACCAACATTCTTGTACAGCAGTGCAGTTAGTACAGGCTACATAAACAGCATATGTTTTAATCAGCATTGAAAAAAGTATGTAAAATAAAACATTTCACTCTGCCAGGGTGAAATGACACTGCAATAAATTAATTGATTCAAAGGTTCAAAATGTCGATGAACAATCGTGTCAAAATGAATCGTGATTTAACAAACTGCAGTATAGATATGGCTTCACCTAAGGCTTCTCAGCCTGGCTTAGAGCTACATACTTTCAGTGTAAGTGTGATGCGTCAGCAGAGGACTCACCTTGCCGGAGTAGTTGCGTATTATGCTGACATAATTCTTATATTTCTCATCTCTGTAATTAAAGCCCAACTCCAGGACTCCCGGTAATTTTATTCCGAATGAAATGCTGGTTTTTGACATGCGGGCTTCCATACTGTGCTCCTCAAACCGGGAGTAAGAATCGTACACATCCAGAGTGAAATCGTAATCGCCCTTTGTCTGGAATTAAGAAGAAAGGAGACTGACGGTCAGCCTGGGGTCCCGGGTCGCGCAGAAGCACGGCGGCCATTGCGTACAACTTGCTGACCTGCACCGTGTAATGCTGGAGATTGTAGGGTTTCCGGAACCTGGTGTGCTGGATGTGATGAGGTAAACAGCTTCCTGCATAGTAACGGTTGTCAAGGACTGCTCCTTCCAAATTGCCGCTAAGCACGTTGATCCTAGAGGAAGAAGAATCCTTGGAAAACCGACTTAATTAATAATGAAAGTCTAGTAATGATGCGGCCTTAGCGTAGCCAGAAGAGCACACGTCCACCCACCCGCTGGCCAGGTTTTCGATCCCCCAGTACTCCTCCACCTTCTCCCTGCAGGCCCTGATCACGCTCCTGCAGCCACGCTCGTCCGAGCCGTCCCCGCAGTCATCGTCCCCGTTACAGAGCAGCCGGCGCGGTATGCAACGCCCTGCAAGCCGACGGAAGCCACCTTAGATACAGAGAGGCCTCCTGAGGGCAGGGCTCTTGGAGAATACTGTCCAGCAGCAGACCAATCGCTCCAAGTCCATGCACCACTGCCATCACATCAATGAAATCTGTGAACTTATTTAGGACTTTTATTAGTAAAGAGTTAGATTACCATACACTGTCAATCGCTAGGATTAACCCATTTCTCATAGTAACATCACTGATCCCAAACCAGCTTTAACCAGACAGAGAGTGAAATCCAACCTGTCATTAACGTTCCATGTCATTGCTAAGGATGAATTATTATGGGGTTCCACAGGTTTCAGCAAGTAAAATGTAAGACTTTTTAAGACTGTTGTGTATGTAATTTAAGATCTATTCCATGTCCATACTGACAAAAAAGTAAAAAGGAAATGAAGGAAACCCAGAAGTCCCAGAATTACTTGCAAAGTAAATGAATATATTCACATTCAACATGAACATTCAGCTGTTTTTTTGTTTGTTTGCTGCTTTTGATGAGAGGAGACGCCAGGTTTGCCCGCACACCACAGCCTGGGTGCTCTGAGACATTCTGACCAGGCTGCAGCGTTAGCGGTTAGCGGATAGCAGTCCCATGATAGTTTTGTTTTGTAGTTTTGTTACAGCATGATCAGTATAAACTTTTACCAAAAACAAATTTAAAAGTGAGACTTATAAAAGTAAAGATGATTTCATAATCCAATCACTTTTAAGACCTGTCAAAAATGTACTTGACATTTTAAAGCCTAAAATTCAGATTATTGGATTTTATACTTTTTAAGGACTGGGCGGATACCCTGTTTTAACAACTCCCGTCAGTCTAGCTGTGCTGTGAAGATTTGCAATACAAAGCAGCATCCTGAATCGTGAAGGTGCTGGTCCATTCGTAACGTCCCCACCTCCGCTGGAGATTCAGATGGGTGTGTTGGGCTGGGAAGAAGCAGTGAGACTCTCCCAAAGACCCCCGAATCAGGTCAGCAAATGTTCTAGGTCCATCAGACAAACGGCTCAGAGTGGTTTAGTGGAGGTATTGGCATTCTGACACCCCAGGGCCACATCCTCCATGACCCTGCCTGAACTTGTTGAGGTTGCCCAGGGAGGGGTGGTGTATTTCTGGGTCTGCCAGGCGGAACGGGGGCCTGGAGTGGATCGGGCAGCAACGGTACCGGTGGTGACGCAGACGAAGCCTTCGCACGAGGGACTGTCCCGACAGCTCAGTTGAGACGGGGGGTCACAGGGCTCCTCCTCTCGCCCCCGGAAGTGGCAAGGCTCTCCGCCAAACTGGGATGGCTGCACCAGCGTCGCGTACCGGTACTGGAGAAGGAGAGGGATGGTGGGAGTCTGAGAGTCTGGGAGTGATGGGCCATAACTAGGGATGCACCAAAAATTCGGCCACCGAAAATTTTTGGCCAAAAATGCATTTTCGGTTTTCGGCCGAAAGACCCACAGATAGCATTTTGTAAAGCATGCAATTTGAAGAGGGGTGCATCTATAAAATACTTTCTCAACGTTGGGATTAATTTATCATAGGGAATCAAAACATCCCGATCGCCATGCCGATTATGAGACGAATGTGGCACAGAAGAGGAAAGTCCCCCCCAACACACCCACTCCGTCTGTGGCGGCCAAGCTTTTATTTGGGATACTCTCTTGGAGGATCTCATTGAACATATCAAACAACATGGCTACATTCCCCTCATCTTTTTTCCAAGCTCTGCGCTCCCTCTCTTGCGCCGTGCGCTTCTCCGTCTCCATGCGGGTTCTCCGTCTCCATGCGGGTTCTCCGTCTCCAACGCAGCCTGGATCATTTATTGTGTGCGTTGCTTTATCCCCACATCCAAGTAATGAACTTTATAACGTGGATCAGGTACAGTCACGGTGAAGTGCAGGGGATCTGAGTATATCTCAGTAAACCTCTTTGCATAGAAGTTGTTATATCTTTCTGCAGTTTTTAAAGCACATGTTTTGAATGCACTTTGTTGTAGTGGTCCTACAGAGAATGTTAAAATGCACTTCACTTTGATGCACTTTGTGTTTTATGAGAGAAGATATTTAATTTTACAAATCTTTCAATAGTCAGTTATAGGCCTGTAGGCTATACAGGAGTAGGGCCAAGTAAAACATTTCATTTAGAATTCAATTTTATTTTATATTGTCCATTGTTGGAATGTCAGCATTCAGTGCTGTCATTTTTTTCATAGTTTTGTAATTGATTTATTCTTTGAAGCATGAATATTAATTTATGCAATTGCAATGCCTTGACCTTAGTGAGGTAAGTACACACACTCCCAGCCATAACAGCAATGGCACAAAAATATTAGCATAATAATTTCTTTCGGTTTTCGGCTAAATGTTTCCTCATTTTCGGTTTCGGGGCATCCGTAGCCATAACACCTCCGAACCACCGTGTGGCGCTGACCAGCAGTTACAAGCAGGGAATGTTTGGAAGAGGTCATTCCTGTTAAAGGAGGTTCAGAAAAGAAAGCAGACTGTGTTTGATCAGACTCTGTTTACCTATTATTGTGACTTGACAGAAGATCAGTACACGTACGAGCAATTAATCGAATGATTCCGATATACTTTGTCGCAGCTGTAAGGGTTTGTCTTCAACATTTTTTAGCAAAAAGCTAAAAAGCATTTACAGCTCAGTGGGTTAGGACAGCGTGTTTATAAGAGGCAGAGTGACCAGCAGAGTGATGTCAGGATGGGGTCCCTGAGTGAGGCCCTTAACCCACAGTCACTCCAGGCCCTAGATGACCTGGCCTTCTCCAATTGTATGTCATTTTTAATAAAAGCATCTACTAAGTAATATGTGTATAATTACTGTTAATTTACAACAAATAATTATTATACGAGGGGCACAGAAACTGGGGGAGTCCCCCCAATAAACAGACCTTTGCATTTAAATTATTGTCTCTGCCAGTATCACACTGTCTCCTATGCTTTTCAGACTGAGGGACATGGAGGGGGTGTGGTCTGTTTGGTGTGATGTCATCACGCCACGCCCATTTCACATGCTCACCCTTTTCTTCTGGCAGACGTTGCATCGCGTCCATGGAGACCAGGGCGACAGGGCACAGTCCAGCGGCTGCACTGCTCCCGATTGCACTCCGGCAGAGTGACTGGGGTTAGAATCATTACCAGGCAGAGTTGCAGGGTTACCAGGAAAGCTCAGGACTGGTCAGTGATGAGTCACATTTTTGACAGGCGAATAAAAACAAAGCTGGAATTATGCACTGGCCTGTAGTCCTGGGCTCTGAGTTGTATGGGGACCTAAACATTTTTTTATGGTTGTCACAGCATGATTTTATGCTGTAGGTAGGGCCCCAACAATAGCTTAATCCCAGGGGGCCCCACCCCCCTAAAATCGGCCCAAGCATTAACATAACTCGGCTCGACATGAAAACCATAATCTGTATCACATAAGATGCCGTAGAATATTGCAGAATCTACCCAGGGTAGATTTTTTGCATGTAGAGGCCCCTAAAGTACGGGGGCCCCCTGCCGGGGGATCCATGGCTCACTGACACCCCTGGCCTTAGTTTGTCTAAATATCACGTCTTTGAAAAGCTAGGAAAACCCCACATCAACATGCACACTCCACACATAGAGAAGCAGTGCAGGGCTGCAAACACAAAACCTTGGAGAACATGGACATATGGCATCTGTATAGCCACCAGGACTCTCCACACACCATACAGGACCAGCATATAATACACTAACCATATACCGCAATAAGAGCAGTCATAGACGGCGATACCGTCTAATTACTCTTATGTGAAATCGGTTAAATACAAATATGGTATTCAGTAAAATGTACCAAAATTACCTTTTTTCCCCCTAAGAGAAACACATATCAAAAAATCTAGAGAATCACTGAAGCTTCCGGGATATTATCCTGGAGAATAGGCCTCCGACAGTCATTAGGCTTATATTATGAGGCATTGTACAACAGAATGAACAGGTTTGCAGAAGATGAATTCCAGTCTTTTTTTTTTTTAAATTCAAAACAACAATAATCATGTTAATTGGGTTCATTTGGGATAATCATTATGGTGCAAAGGGATTTAGCCTTTACAGCCGTATTATATTTGTTTTTATATATCTTATTTTGTTTTGAAATAATTTCACCCAAATTTCCATCTTTGAAAATTAAAATGGTTATCTGTGGATATGAGTGACTATAAACAACGCACGAGTTCAACAGCCTAAAACAAACTAAAGGCTTATTTTAATAACTATAAGTACCTGTATGCTGCAATTTGTTCTATTTTTTCCCGACGTTTAGAAGCGGACGTGAACGGAATAAAAAACCAACAAACATGCCATAGATCTTGCAATGAACAAACAGCACCATTAGCGCAGTTTAAAAACACGGCTTCGTACACTTGATTAAAAATTCTTTTGAATAATTAAAAACCAAGGCAAAATATACTGAAGGCTATAAATCTCATTTTAAATGTTTTTCGCCCCGTTGCACTGGGACGAAAGGTTAAACAAAGACTGAAAACTCTAATCACTCACCAAAGAACATAGAGAAAGAGGGTTGAGATTAAGGAGAAGACGTTCATGGTTGCTGGGGAGTCCAGCGTGGGCAAAGGTACTGTGTGCTTAACACGGCACAACCAGAAATCGATCATTATTTAAAGCAGGGGTTCATCTTTTTGATCAAAGGTCCGCATCAGAGTTTTTGTTCAAAATCAAGGGTCCGTAACAATTTTCAATAACAAAACAGCATTTCATGAATTTTAAAGGATTAACAATATCCTTCGATGTAGACGATAATGTACAACAAAAAACTGGAACTTCTCAACACTCGCTGATCATTTCGACTCAATGTCCTTGCGGCGGGGGGCGGGGGGTTACTACGAGTAATGTGTGTGCGATATTTGGTGGTACTACATTATATTTTTGTACTTCAACCCACGATAAGCCTTTTTAGGTTGACTCATAAAGTGGATGAACGGCTGGGTCCAGCGCGGTGCGCTTCTGTCCGCACCGCGGACCGGATTTTCTAACGCCCCGAACTCCTGCGCTCTTCTTTGGCTGCACGACCAATCTATGGGGTGGGAAGTGTCCGTATAGCTACGTTTGGGAAAAATCAGTCTTTTTAGGTTAAAGCAGACAAACACAACCAGTTATTTATTTTCTTTATCGTTGACAGAACATTCAGTTACAGCGCAGTTTAACTGGAGAGTTTGCGCTTCGGAAAAGCATCATTCCGCAGAACGCGATAGTGACGGACCGATGGGTCCTTCCTTGCTCTAATTCCCAGGGGACCCCCCTCAGCAAGGACTGGGTCTACACTCTGCACCAAAATTCACAGACACACGAGTCTATTTCATGCCTTGATTATCGGATCAGGAGTCCTGATGCAAGATCTCCTGCTCCTTGGGGTCCTACTTTCTGTCATACCGATTTTTAAAAATTGTTTAACCGTTTAAGGATTGCGAAGTTCGGGTCTTTTCATCACAGGTCTTGATTGACACGTCCTAGCTCTATAAATCCTGATCAGGATAAGGGGCTAGAAGATGGATCGATGCAGGGCAGGACAATCCTAGAACAAAATTTTATCGCAACACACAGCTTCATTTAGGAAATGTTTATTTGTGACGCTATTACATGGTGGGATACATAAATCCAAAAAAACCCTTAAAAATCACTTTAGAATGTTTTCATAAAGAAAGGTCAGTTTACATCAACAAAGTGATAATCTGAGGTAAGGTTAACGTCTCTGAAGAGAGGTGTTCTCCTCATTTTCTGATGTAATTAATTTAGCCGGAAAATGATTTTTTAAATTAAGACTCTGTCTGTAGAGAAGCAGCAGAGGACAGAAGTGTCAATGAAGAGGACAGGAATTGATAATCAAATTAGTCGGACACACTGACACTAATTAGCAATGAAACGAACTAATAATTTTAGGATGAGGCTTAGATGGGTGGACAACAGGAGAAAACGACTGGTCTGGAGAAACGCTTGGTTTGTGACCCAGTTCAACCATGGCACTATAAACCTGCCACCAGGTGGACAGGGTGTTCCCTAACTAATCGATCTGCATGTGGGCCTTGTGGGGGTGAGGGACCTACAGAGAGATACACAGAGAGGTGTGTGGGAACCCCCCCCCCGCCCCGCAAAAATTTAGCACCATCCTTAAATCCTCTGCAGTCACCCTCTAAAGCAGACACATCATCTGACCGAGGTTAAGCGACAGTAACACCTATGGTACCCCCCTCACCCAGCAAAGAGTGCATATCGGAGAGAGAGACCTCACTACCCAGCCTTCTGAAGACACGTCGCATGATCCGACTGCGCTTTGCAGCTCTCTCAAGTCACCCTGAAGGCTTCATCCTGTCACCCCGAATAAATCACACCGCCGATTGACATTCTTGGACACCTGTCATATGTTTCTGTCCCCCCCCCCCCCATTGTAAGTTGGCCATTTTAAGCCAGCATTCCAGAAATGAGAAGCAAAGTGGCAAGCTGGTGGCTGAGGAGGGGGCAGGTGGGAGAGATGGTGAGGTCACTCGGCCATCGCTTAATCATGTCTGTTTTATGGCACAGAAGTTAGGAGAAGAACATGTAATATTTACAAAATAAATCTTGCAAAGAAATGTCCTCATTTGTAGTCCTTAAAGCAACGCACAACCCCAGAAGACTAGACCTTGATGGCATGATTGGCTTAGAAAATAAAAATTTCATTTTAATTCATCTTTTTCGATCAGTGTTGTACAAAAGCTATAGAGACTAAACAAGTCAGTCGGAGAATCGGTTCGGCAACGTCCACGCCTCTGAGAGTCCGGGACCTCCCCATGTCCCTGTTGGGGCCCTCGCTCAGAGAGAATTCTGGCAAAGCTTCCCCTCGTGCCATCAGTCCGGGGTTCGAAGGGAGCGGCTTCGTCTGCATAGCACACGGGCAGTGGACACTCGGTAGAGAGAATGGAGAATAAAGAGGAAGGCGAGGAAAGCGGGTGCTTCTGGAACCTCCCGGAAAATGCCTGCGGCGGGTAGCAGACGGGCCTCGGGCATGCGGCCTCCTGCCAAGGTCGGGGTCGGACCCTGAGCTGGAGGGGAATCCCTGCTGGAGGAGCGCCACCTGCAAGGCCGGCCCGATTGCAGGTCCACTAGGGAGCCGGGACAGAGTCACCATGATGGACATAAACAAGGGCGCTGGGGGAGCTGGTATGTGGTGGGGGGGGGGGGCGGGTGGAGTGAAGTAGTGGCCCATCACGACCTGGGACCCCCTCTGAGAAGATAGCTTGGGGAAACAGAGGAATGGATCATGCTGGGGGGCTGGTGCTGTGGTCAGGGGGGCCGGACCCAGCCCGAGCGCCCTCTCACACACCACACACACACACACACACACACACACACACACACACGCACGCACAGTCTCCCCGGCGACTGCGGGACCCGGTGGGCTTATGCAGACTCCTCCTCACTCCTTCGCTTGGTCAGCATCGGCACGTGGACACCTCCCCTGCAGGCAGAGAACGGCTCATTAACACCCGCCTTCCAGAAGGTAAGCCCCCAATAACCCGGGTGGATTAGAACAGGGAGGAGAGTCGGTGTCGGAATAAGTCACATATCTCAGAAAAAGCCCCTCAGGGTAGCTGAGAGAAGCCAGAGTAGTTGTTGTAAGGAATTCAGATGCTCTGCACTTTAAACTAAGTTTGTGCAATATCGAGGCAAGTCGTGAGTGTAAGTGAACAGCCATGTATCCATGAGCACTTAGAATTAAATTTTACGAGCGGAACTGCCTAGTTCCTTGACCAAAGTGACTTCCTTCAAGGACATGGAAGAGCAAAATTGCTCTTGTAGTAACAGACACTCGACACTCTTGTGGAGGTATGACAGAGTAATGAGGCCGCGGGAATTTAATGTGATACTTAAAAGGAATGATTGAGGAAGAACACGGTAAGTTTCGATTGGCTTTTCTCAAATGGTGGCTTTCCAAACAGCCACCCAAGCACAGGACTATAGCCTGTATATATATAGTGTCAAGACATGTTTTATGTACTACTGCCAACTGATTTCACGCCTCGGCAAAAATTATTATGTTACATGGCCAGCAGATGGCAGTAGTGTGCTTCACAGAAAAGAACGACATGAGACATATTCGTCTAGCAAGGGGGGGGGGGGCTAACTCTGAGTCATGTATGTGTACCACCCGCAGGCATGTGAGGACGGGGGTGAGGATTTATTTGTGTGGAATGCAGAGAACCCGTCGCCAATGTGACCTTAATATAAAACACCTGTCAAGCCTCATCCGGAAACGGCGTGTTGCATCGAGACGGAGACGAGCGCTGGCTTCCCAGCACCGCTCGGCCTTTGAAAACCCAAAAGAGAGCTTTGCTCCAAAGAAATACGGAGACTGGAAATTATTGCTAAATATATGCAGCAATATATGGTTGAAATGTGGCACGGTGACCTTTTGCTACCCGTGGGCATGCAACCAGAGGGATATGTTGGATATCCAGAGAGAGCAGAAGATATGGCCAACAGGCCAGCAGAAGGCCGCCCTCACTGATGGTCAGCAAGGAGATGCCACCCTGGGTCACTTGTGGCGCATTTTCCACTGGCATACAGGAACCAGGCCGTACCTGAGCTGTACCCCAAAGAGAAACTATTTACAGCACGGTTCCAGCTCGCTTTGTTTTTCCACTGCAGAAGGTTCAGCTTGGTAAGGGCGTTGTTGGGTTTGGAGAGCAATAGTGACATAAAACCAAAGTGACACTTATTTATTGTTTTTGCTGTGTATATCATAATTTGCTATGTGCTAATTTCTGCTAACATGTCTGCGAGAATCACCATCTTACTTTAGCATCAAACACTAGTGGAATTAGCATTCGCTATGTAAATTTGCTTTATGAGTCCATTCTGTTCAGCTGTTATATAGTGATTTTTCAAGCAGGTGCAGACCACCGGTTCTTTCTTGCTCTTTCGACCAATAAGATTGTGGTGACGCAACCAGCTTGATCTTTTTCACACTCTCGGCCCTACAGGTCGGGTGCGGTTCCATTAATTTACAATGGAAAACCGTTTCCTCCTGGTTCGACTAGGTTCTTGGTGGCAGTGGAGAAGCACCATTTGAGCCACACCTTCAGCCCGAGTCTGCTGCAGTGGGGGGGGGGGGGGGGGGGGGGGGGGGGGGCAGGAGGGAGGGGGGACAGGAGCCCATCCTACTGGACCATATGGTGTCAGGACAGGAATATAAGTGTTGGAATGTGACGCCATTGCGACGCGGGTCACTCCCAAGCATCCCATAAGGAGGGGTCTCCATGGCACCCACCCAGCAGCCCCGGTGTACGTGTCACACTGACCCCTCCATCCACGAGCGTGAGCTGGCTCGCATCCAAAAGCGCTCTGCATCTCCCTCCCCCTGCATCCACTTCCCAAGGGTAACATGACACATCATATGGGTGCGACCAGCACCTCCAGTGCCATGTGACCCCATGAGGGATAAATTCAAACTCAATAGAGACCCGATAGCCAGTGAGAGTCTGTGGTGATCTACTCACGGCAGGGACAGCTCTGTTCGGGATCCAGGGATAAAATGGCGGAAAAGCCATCACAGCTTCCCTCTGCGATGAAATATGTGACCAAGGCCTCCAAAAATCGGTACGATTTTAATTACGAGCAGCTTCAAAGACGCACGCGGAGGGATGGGGATGCTCCATGGCGTGAGCTGTAATAGAGTGGCTCTGCTAGAGCGCGTAATTATTTAAGCGTGTAATCCACAGTCATCGTCGGCGACATGACAAGG